AAATTGGACAAATTCCATGCCTCCTGGTATACTCATAGTGCTATATCGTTATTGCCCAGGTCAATGGATCAGTGTGCTCTCATGGTACACATTTAACAAAAAAACATGAGCCACCAAACTTAAGGCCTTTTTAAGTGTGCTCCTGAATGTATTTCTCAGCTCAATGGGGAGCATATGAAAGGACCTCTAATTCTTTTTTTCACAATGTTAAAAATTAAGATTAATCTGCTTGAGCTTGAAAAGTGATGATGTTTTCAGACTTGGGGATGCCGAAAGGGCTTGTTCAAAGTGAGCGGATCCTGTTTAGAGAATGGGAAAATTCTCTTCATTTTGGAGGAATTTGTGTTGGTCATGTGGGGATTCGGGGATGGAATTGACCGTCAAGAACTTATGCTTGTCATTAGACGTGACTGAATGGATTGTGTTGTTAGGCTTGGTGACTTGATTGTGTGTCATCGAGTTGATGGCGTGGAACGTTGTTAATTATATCAGTCACTGGTTTGTGTGGTTCAGACTTATCTATTATTGACATGCCAACATCTTATTGCTAGAGTGTGGCATAAAGCAACAAACAAACAATAGAACATGTGAGGATAAGAACTTGCATGTCCAATCTGACAAAGATTTTCCTCTACTTTTGAGGATTTCCTTTCAGTGAGTGAGTGAGTTGGGTTTAACACCGCTTTTAACAGTATTCCAGTTAAATAACGGCGTGTCAGCTTAATGTAGGAGGAAAGCACAAAGTGATGCAGGTCTCAGATGTTTACCACTTCGGTGAAACCCACGAGCACGGGTATGGTGCTGACAAACCTAGAAACATAATTGGGGCGAACCGTGATTCAAACCCACAATCATAGGTTTCTGGCGTGCCAACGCATTAGACGACTGGGCCGACTGATTTATTTGAATACTCTAGATCAATTGACCTTTTCATGCTCAGGTAGTTGCCTCAAAAATAGTCTCTAGACAAAAATAAACTATTTTTGTGCCGTCAAACACTCCTAAATTTCTTTTTATAACTTACTTTGAAAAGTATGGGTCATTGGAATCTTGCATCAGGACTGCATTTTATCTAATCAAACCTAGCTGTGATGGTAAAAATAGACAAATCTAGCTAGCTATTTGATTTATTTGTTAAACAGAGACATTTATTGTGTAATAAAAGCTTTCTTGGAGTATGTGTTAGCCTAGGGTTTGTTGAGTGTGTGTGTGTTCATGTGCCTGTGTGTCTGTGTGTCTTTGATTACAAGAATAATTTTTTCTGCATATGTTAGCCTGGTGTTGTTATTGGTCTGACTGTGGTAAATATGTTTCTTTCCCTCATCAGTTCAGTAGTTAGATGGAGCCAATCCCCATGGCTCAGAAACCTGTATTTTCCATGCTTGTCTGGAGATATCATTATAACTCTGCTGGAACTCTTTGCGCCAATGATTGACATGCGTCAATATCTGAATCATGTACATATCCCAGCTGGAACAGGTGCTTCCTCGGGGCCTCTGTATACTCTCTGTTTGTTTGACAGACAACCAAACCTTGTGCTGCTCTCTAACATGATACACATGTATTACGCTGTAATTTTCTGACTATTAAAAGTATCTTAGAGGAGGCAGGCTGTCCGCTAACAAGTCACATGTGTTGGTTAACCCTTTCAGCTTTCAAACTCTCTGGAAAAATTATGATCAAGCTTCTGGACATTGGTAGGTTGTTCATGATCACCTGTGTTGTATGATGTGAAAATATTATATTAAGGATAAGAGGAATTATGTTTAATGGAAGATGGTGGACAAATAGATATTGTACAAGATGATGGGGTGGGGAGGGTTAAATGAAGAGTGTCAGAGGAACAAGGATATGTGGACAATTTGATGTAGGAAATTGGTAGAATGCTATGAACTGCTTGTGGAATGTTGTTGGAGGTCCAGGGGGTGGTGGTCTGCAACAATATGGTTTGAGCTTAGAAGTGAAGTAGTGTAGTAATGTCAAATATTGTATTTAACGTCAGCGGTTGAAATGAAGAATGAAAATCAAGGGATGATTTAAGTTAAGATTTTAGATTTAAAGTCCCTGGTTCCCTCTCCCAGTTTCCAACAATTGTAACTTTTGTGTTATATATGGAGAGATGTTACATCAAACTGATTTTGCTGCTTGTCAGTATCGTCTCACACAGGATGGACAAAGTAAAGGATTTCTTAGATGGTGTTGAGTTGGGAACCGAACTCAGTTTGTCGTTGTGGTTTGCTACCACTCTTACCTGTTTGTCTGCCAGTGTACGACCTCACTCCAGCACAGGAGAAAATAAAGGGTTAATGAGGGTGGCTCCAGAAATTGCATTGATCATTGAGAAGGCACTGTTGTTTTTGTCAGAACTGCAGATAATGTTTAATATATTCAATGATTATCAATGGAGTGATGGTCTTGGAAGATAGTTTACTGTATAGTTTAATAGTAAAGAGATCAGTGACATCAAAATGCTGAAACATGAGTCATAAAGTACCTCAGTTGTACTCACTTCCGGCAGTTCACCCTTCACCCCAGCAGTTCACCCCCACCCCCATCTGCTCACCCCTCACTCCAGCAGAACTCACCCACAGCACTTGACTTCTCACCCGAGCAATATACCCTTAACCCACAGCAGGTCTTCCTTACCCCAGCAGTTCCCCCTTACCCCATCAGTTCCCCAGCATCTCTGCTGTGTGGGGCAGCTGTTCAGGAAGTGATGATGTTAATGTTGTTCTTGAGGCAGACACATCTGCGTGTATATATAGCCTGTCCAGCATAAGGCTGGGAGAAGCCCTGGCCTCAGGGGAGAGGGCTGAGTGTAGGCTGGCTCACCTTCCAGTGTTTACATACAGACTGATACAAGATGCTCTGGGCGGCTTGGATTAAATATGCTGCTTTCATCAGCTGGTTTCCTCGCATCCATGGAATATTGTCAGTGATATGCTTTGTGTGAGCATCAGTATAAATTGTATTACTTGTTGTTTAACGCCGCACTCAGCAAAATTCCAGCTATATGACGGCGGTCTGTAAATAATCGAGTCTGGACCTGACAATCCACTGATTGACATCATGAGCATCGATCCACGCAATTGGGATACGATGACATGCATCAACCAAGTCAGCGAGCCTGACCACCTGATCCTGTTAGTCGGCTCTTACGAAAAGCATAGTTGCCTTTTGCAGCAAGCATGGGTTGCTGAAGACCTATTCTACCCCAGATCTTCACGGGTCGCATCAGTATAACAAAGCATCAGTGTATAGAACTAGTCTGTTATACAGACCCGGAATACAAATATATCCAATACAGCCCATGCAAGTCTATAATGTTTGGCAAGTCTAGATTACTGCAGTATCTGAAAATGAAGGGTTTCTGGGCTCCTTTTTGTAATATTTTTATTAAGATAATTTAACATGTTCCACAACTGTTTTTTTTTTCTGTAAGATTTGTTCTTTTCAGAGACTAGATGTTAGTCTAGTGTAAAACTAGAATTATGAGAATGAATTGTTAAATGGAACATAAGACCCACAAATGCAGAATTTTAAAAAAAATATTTCTTTTTAGGTAGATCCTTTTGTCAGATGATTCTGACTCAGATAATACACAAGGCCAGGAAAATCTAATCTGTTAACAAGGTTAAGATATGATCTATGTCTATATGTGTTGGATAAAACATCATGCCGAGGTACTCCTTGGGATTGTAAAACCCAAGGGAAGAAAGTCGAGTAAGGACAGAGGCTCTTGCTCCTCGATTTTTAACAGGACAAAGCCTTACTGAGGAGGAATGTCTTATCCAGATTAGACACCAAAAATAATGATCAATATATCTGGAAATAAATTGACAAATAAGGAGCAAAAATATTAGCAGGTTTACCCCTGATATACTAAAACGGACTTGACTAATGCTTAGTCAATTTCTAACATAAAGCAGGTTTCTCTTGACAATGGGAGTACTCCTCCATATATCATCAGTGTTGAAAACAATTAGTATTTTTATGAAATCATTCAGATACGATTGCACCAAACATTTTAGTTATTGATCAATTTATAAGAACAAAAAAACAACATATTCCAAGTAATAATTTCTGGTATTTCCAAAATATGACCTCAACAGTTCAAGAACTTTTCCTTTTGTAAGTCCTCTGTAGCCGATTTTGAATGAGCTCGGAATCAATGTTGAAATGCCATGCAGAATACTTCAATCCCAGGATCTAGAACTATTGGAAGGAGAGTAATTTATTGATGATATATAAGATAGTTACTATGTTCCACTAGCCCTCAGGATACCTGTACTGTAGCATTTGAACTGATGCTAATTGCTGCATCTAACTTACAGCCGAATATATTATGATCCATGTTATTCCATGACTTGCAGCAGATTATGTTCTGAATCCATGACTGACAATAGTCTCACATCAGAAGGTGACTTCAGGTTTATGACAGCTGTGCAAATTATGAACTTTTCCTTCACTGTCATTCGTACACCTTGCAACTCACTGGCCGATTCAAAGGTGTGATGCTTGGGGTGCACACACGCCCATATTTGTTTCTGACACCTTACATGTCAACTGCGCCGTCGGCCAAGTCAATTCATGGGTATCAATGTGCACCCACCCACTCATTTATCAAAATGATGAATCTGCCTCTGTAAGTTATCATGCTTATGGAATGAATAACATGTGAATAAGTTGTCCATCATTACCGTACATCGCCGTCTATAATGCGACCCCACGTATAGGACGAACCCCCTGTATAAGCCTTTAAAATCAATGTTAATTTATATATACCGTCTATTAAGTGAATCGGAATGAAGCACGTCACCAGCGCACACACAATCCCTTCATTTGCAATAAAAACGTGTTTGTCTTCCGCAGAAAAGAAATTACGTCGTATCCCTTCAGCGAATTCAGGGAAACGAACAGATAATAATAAGTAGTTGGTTTGTCATTTAATGAATTCAACTCAACTTGTTTGTGTTAACAATTTGAAATTGTGGTTTCAGGAGAGAGTTCACGCTAAGGACCCGCCACATGTCTACCTGGACAAGCTGCGGACGTACCTTGATCCAAGAGCCACACGCAGCTCCAGAGTAAGTGCCCTTCACCTTCATGCTTACTTGTATTTTTACATCTGGATGTAGCAGCAGCATCAGCAGCAGCTAATGTCAGTGTCTCAACTTGTCAGTATTTGTTTTAGCCTATTGTACGTAAAGTCCTTAGCATATAGTCTCCCAGTCGTAAGGCACACTTCCATTCATGCAATTAATAATGCCACACACGTTTTTTCTGAGACATATTTTGTCATTTAGGATGTAATTAATTTCAAATGTTGCTCTCGGCCATCTGCAGCTGTCTTACTTCCTCTTGTCATTCTGACTATTATATTAATTGGACGATTTTAAATTTGGGTTCTTAGTCCAGAAAATTTTGTCCAATTATTCTGAACATGAAGTACAGGATTATTTTTTTAATACAAATTTTTATAATGTTTCCAATAGGTGCCTGATTCAAACATTTTTTTATTTTTTTAATAAAAGTTGATTTTCACAATGCTGGTTTTAGAGAAGGAATATGATTAAAAGGAGTTTTTTTTAACATTTATTGGCATTTGTTCATAATGTTTTCTGTTAATGTTATATTTATAATACGATGGTTTTTAGGACAAAGTTAGCATCTAAGGTAAAATGATAAATCAGATGCAACTTCAGGCTGAAATTGTTTCAGGGTCTTCACTGTACCGTATGCTTTTGAATTGCTGGCCAGTGTGCTTAAGCTGTGGCTGTTTAGCCAGCAAAATTCCTTTGCAGCTTAATCCTCTTATTGTCAGCCTCAATGACAGGTATTGGCTCATTCTGACATGGTACAGATGTACTGGTAATACCAGGTTTATTTCATGGTCGTACCATACATGCATCAGTTGGACTCTCACCCCCAGTGGGGCACCTGTTATGATAGCCATAGTTGAATGAAAGAGTTTATAATCTGTGTACAGAAATCTTGTGAAGAAATACTTAATGTTAATATCTACCATGGTTGACTAACCTCCCTGGTACGTTTGTCTCAGAATCCAAATCAAATTGGTCAATGCATGACTCTGTTCTATAAATTCATATGTTGAATATTGAGACATTATAAAATATTTTTGCCCATGTTACAGAAGTTTCATAAAGTACACATGATTGCATGTGAGTTTAGAGATAGCTAGCCAACATGTCACGTGATGCCAGGTTACAGCACTGCATTGAGAAGTATAATGGTATCGTGTTACTGCTAGCGATGTTGTAAAAGTTACTGCACTGCTGTAACCAAACTTGACCACGCCCAGTTTTTTCCACGACTTGCGTGTACACATGACCTTTGCGCTACTACATGACTAAATTTGTTTGTCCCTTGTCCTTTTCAGCAGCGAATGTGTATCGCTCTCCACACCATGGTAACGTTCCCTCAGTGTACAGAAAGTGTACGTGATAAGTTGTTACATCACAATCCGGATCATCAGTATATTTAAGGCTTTCAGTGTAGGGAAGAATGGTGGCTCACGGATTGGTATACCCTCATGGTCTTGTCCGTGAGACTTTCCCCCTCCCAACCCCCACACACCCTCATCGTCCTGTCCCCGACACCCTCCCCAGGCTCTGTCCAGCCCTGGCTCCCGGCTCCCTGATCCCATGTGGAGTAATGTTGTTACACTAAAACTGTCGTAAGTCTATAGAGTTACGGTCGTCTTAGCACTACGATCACTTTGTGAAACAGGCAGAATGCTCACTCATTCTGATACTGCCAGTACCAATCTTAAATATCGAGCACCAGGGTTAGAAACTAACAGTTTTCGTCCACTAGTCCTTATAATGATAACGTATAGCAAAACCCTTAAAAAGGGCAAATTTCCTCAAGTCCTTATAATACCTTTACCATTGGTCAGTTTGGCAAGGACTATAGGACCATTGCCAATTTCTAATGCTGAGCACTGTGTAGTAGTTACAGTGACTTTTTGGACTGCCATGGATGTCAAGACTCACAGCAGTAACAAATACATGCAAGGCAACTTTTCACCACTACTGATTCCAAAACACTAATTGCTGAATAAATAGATTTTCAAAACAGATACCTTTGGACCTTACTGTAAATTACTAGACCTGGTCTTCGGTCTACTGGCTAAATAGCTCTATCAATATTAAGAAAAATGTTCTGAAACATTGTAACATACCTTTTATTTTATGGCTCAGTCATATAAAGAGTTGCAAATCTCTTCAGAATATATATGTCTTTTCTTTTTTTATTACCATACACCCCACAGGTTTGATAGAAATTATTACAGGGAACGTAATGTAAGACATTAACTGAAAAACATCTACAGTGTTCTTTTCAGTTAATGCTGCTTTCATAATTCAAGTTAACAGAATGATTGTCAACTTTTTTAATAAAATCTGTTCCACAAAGAACTCTTTGGTAACCAGGCAAACAGACATTGATTGCATTTGCAGTGATTAATAACACTGATTAGGAGAGCCTGTGAAACAAAGGATGATCTGTCTCCAGCCAGGCAGCTGTTACGTTGCAGATTCAGACAGTTGATTGTCAAGTCAGTGCACAGGTCTGTTCTCCATCCGTGCAGATGACTCCTTCACATCCCAGTAGAAGCAATAGGTACACGCCATGCAGTTTACATACACTATGGATCAAAGCCAGATCAGCAGAGATGATCTGTCGTTTATTAAGACTTGCAATTCAGATTAGAAATAACATTGAAAAAACATTGTACTCATTAAACAAGATGGCTTGAAGATAATGTTCTTCAATCATGTGTCTTTAAACTTTTTATGAGTAAGTAACTTTTAAAACTTGTAAAGTCATGGACTCCAGCGTTTTTAGTATCAGTGTGTCAGTCAGTCTTCAACTTTAGTTACTTAGCCTGAGTCTAATTATAAGTCAGTTAATAACTACTTCATATCCTAATATCTTAAAATAATGACAAGATACCAGTTCGGGCCAGTAGATTAAAAGGTTTTAGGTACTGAATGGTGTCTTCTGCATCCATTTGGAATTAGTCGTTTTTAAGTTTTGAATTCAAATTATCCACAGTTTAAGATAAAGAGAAACTTGTAATCCGGTATCAGTGTGAGTGGTGCAACTCCCAAGACATGCCAGGAGAACAAGTCACTTGGCTTCTGTAAGATAGTTACTCCTTCAGGATAAGGAAAAGGCATTCTTGATCTTGACACCCAAAGCCCTACTCCCCTCCCCAAGAATAGCCCATACCCCTCCTCCGTGAGCTACTCAAGCGGTGCCCCCCCTCCCCAAGAGTAGAACATGCCCCTCCTCCTCCTCCGTGAGCTGCCATCCCCTCCCCAGGCATGCAAGCATGACACTCACACCCTCAGACAGTGAGACAGCTATAAGCAAATATACCCTCCGATGTGTTCCATTTGTTTCCTCAGCCTGAGAAAAGCTTGAATTTTTGGTTGCTTATTTTTGTGTAGTGATCTTCTTTGTTCTAGCCTGGAGAGTCCATATCGGCCTTACTGCCGTGTTGTGATCTTGGTCATGTGACCTCTGCACTGATGCATTCTGGGAGTTAGCACTCCATGTTGTCATTCTCACAATGTTGGTGTAATCATTTAATACGTTTCTCTCCTCTGTGTCTACCAGAGATGAATGGTTTATTTCTGAGGCCACTGAAACATGGCAATCCTGGCGGCTGTGTGATAGATTGCCAGAATTGATTTCCGTCTTTTCATATATTGAAATATTTTTCTCAGCTCTTGTAATCTTAGTTATTTTCTGCTATCATTTTGTTCAATGGTTCTCCTATCCACATTGTAATAATGTCACAGCTTCTTTGATGGGGCCTGTGAATAATGTTGATGGTATTTTGTTGAAATAGGAAATTTACATGCTTATTGTGTTGAGCCAAACAGGAGGAGAAAAGAACATCTTAATGACCTCATCTACAAAATATTTTGTTTTCTGTAAAACGTTTTTTTTTAAGAAGTTAGTAAGATAAATATATCTGATATTAGTTCCCATGGTTACTTGAATGTTTATCAGTTATTCTACTCTATATATTGGCTATATTGTGACAAATGTTTTTCAAAGTTCCTCATGTTGTAACATATGTTTGTCAGATATATATATGCATGTTGATATAATACATAGTTAATGTATTTGAGACATATATACTATCTGTTCAATGGATCTTATGAACTTGGATAAAAAACAGTAAAGAAGGTTCTACAATAGCAACAGTTTTATAAAGATATTGACTCAGGTGTCGAACATTATCATGATTAAACATCTTTGTTAAGAATAGATGTCTTTGTATTTGTAATGAGGTAAATTCTTCCTAAGTTTATTTTGTCTGCCTACTCACTTCTGTCTTCTAATGTTGTAAATTGTACCAGTTCATAATTATAAAAGTAGGAGACCTGTTAAACATTCACCTCTCAAAAAAACACCACTAAATCTAAATATATGATTTTAAGATCGCTAGACAGCAAGTTTTCCCTACTTTAGAGACTTAATTTATGTATCTGCTTCCCAGCTGTCGGGCACATGCTATACAGGGTGCAACATGGTGTGTGACAGGGAGATAGTTTTTGTCATTGTCATTTAGTAACACACCTAGTTTTACATTACAACACTCCCATAAGTGGCCATTGTCCCCCTGTGTGGAATTGCCAACAATTTCAGAACATTTACCCAGCAGCATTGTGTCAGCTTTTGGGATTGTTACTCTGTATATTGTGTCATTTTATATACCCTTTTAAAGTCATGTATTGTGGTTGTGAAAAAAGGGGGTCGCAGGGTGTAAACTGAACTATTTCCTGTAAAAGATTGATGACTGATGTGACATTTCAGTGTGTCATACTGTTAATTTTTTATTATAGTGCTGATATTAAGGTAGAGTTATGAACTGAGAACAATGGGGTTGTTTAACTGTTTAGGGTCAAATTAAGTTTTTTTAACTTTCACATACATTTTCGTAATTATTTTATTAAATTGGATTGATTCATTTCTGGGAGATTCTTGATGAGGATATTTTGTACTAATATTAACATTTCAATCTGATGCATGACATTTCCTTATTTCCCCAACAAGTTATAAAAAACAAACACCTGGGAACGTTTCTAATCGAAGTATTATTCGCCTTGGGTAATGACATACCTATTTAATACATAACCCTAATACCACAGATATTTATGCAAATACTTCCCAATTTCATGAAACCTAGAATACCCATAAACATCCGCCGACTGATTCACTCTCTCTTGAGTAAGAGATCAATATATTTAATGGATATATAATACTTAACCTTAAGAATTTTTATCATGTTTCTCCCAAGTCAAGATGGCAGAACTACTTCACATTCGGCCTTTAGTAGACATAAGCTATTTCAGTTTCAAAGGAAGCTCTTAATCAAGGGGCGGTCGGGTAGCCTAGTGGTTAAAGCGTTCGCTCGTCACGCTGAAGACCCGGGTTCGATTCCTGATATTGGTACAATGTGTGAAGCCCATTTCTGGTGTCCCCCGCCGTGATATTGCTGGAATATTGCTAAAAGCGGCGTAAAACCATACTCACTCACTCAATCAAGGGTAAAGGATGTCTATAACAGGATATGTATGTATGTATTTGATGAATTAGGCCTGTTGTTATCATGGTTATTGGCCATGCAAGTGAAGTGACAGTCCTCTGTAAGGGAGTGACATCATAGTTACAGCTGTTGACAACTCCTGTCAGATGTCAATGGCAATCAATATGCTGTAGAGGTCTGCTGTGTCCTGTGACAATAGTGTCAAGTGGATATTGTGTATTTGACAACTTATGACATGGTCTTGACACATATAGCTGAAACAGTGCTGAGGTAGAATGATTTTCATTCACCTCCTCACTACCGTCTACATGTGTGACATATGTTTGAGTTGATTTCGGTTTTTTTTGTCCTCATGGGGGTGCCTGGTTTGAATTGCTCCCCAACAACCTGTGCTGGGAGTAATAGGCGACCTAGGGATCGGGTGGTCAGGCTTGGTGACATGGTTCATTGTATCATGGTACCTAGACTGCATGGATCATTGTTCACAATATTAACCACAGGTTTGCCTGATCCAGCCTCAATTATTTACAGACCGTCATCATATAGCTGGAATATTGCTGAGTGCAGCATTGAACAACAAACACACACACATGCATTTGAAAAATTAAACGGATATACTTCAATTTTCAAAATTGATAATTCTCCCGGTTTAAAAATGCTATTGTTATGATATAAGAAAATGAGTTTTCGTTGCCACCAGTAATTTAACAAATTATTGTTTGGGGTAAACTCACTCACTCACTCATTATTGTGTGTGTATGTGTTTTCATGACCAGATTGTCCAGTACTGGGTCACATGGCTTAAACATGGCTGACTGTAACATAGTCCTCATGTATATGTCTACACTAACACTAAGTCAATGAAAACATGTCTTTAAAATAATTTTTAAAAATTTCTAGGAAAGAACCTCTCCCCTTCTTCTGTTTGTGGAATCAAGCAACCTAGACTTGGTTAAGCTTTTAGTAAAAAACAATGCCTAAAAAATATAAATTCCACAGTCATGGTGCAGGACTAGTATATCTCAGTAGCTGCAGAAACCCCCTTTCAAGCAATCCTCATCACTATAGGGCCCAGATGTCAGATGTACGTCCCTGCTTGGCCAATGTCCCCTTGGTTCAACAGTAAATGTTACAAGCGCATTCATGTAGGGGAGATAACTCTGCTGCTTTCTAGTCCATAACACTTAGTACCTTATCATTCCTAAATTAAAACCTTGTGCAACCCCACATCTTTCTGCTCACGCTTCCTTGAAGGTTGATTTCTGAAATGGTTGATTTCATTGAAGTGTGATGCTTTCTCAGACTCCCATTTTAACACTTTATGATGTAGAATATTGCTTCCATAGAACTTGCTCCAAATTCCCAAAGTTTCATGTAATGTAGTTGTAGCATTCTTACCTGATTTTCCTTATTCAGGATGAATAATTATTTCATCACAAAGCATTGCATTCTTATCATGAATTATGTGTTATGTCATTTGTTCAGATTTTAAGCTCTATGGGGATTCTGGGTTACAATAGGCCCTTGGCAACCTGGGTTGACTGCATGTCATCATACCACGTTTACTGTTGCTCACAATATCAATCACTGGCTTGTCTGGTCCAGACTTGATTATTTACAAGCTGCCATCAAGTACAGGGATAGAAACTAACAGTTTTTGCCCACTTGTCCTTATAATGATAATAGGTTGCAAACCCCTTAAAAAAAGCTAATTTCTACCAGTCCTTATGCAGCTTGGCAAGGACTATAGGACCAGTGCCAAATTCTAATGCTGAAGTAGCTGGAATATTGCTGACTGCAGAGTTAAACAACAAGTCAGTTTTAAAATGTAAAAGATGTACTACGAAATGTTCCTCTGTCGTACTGTTAAGAACACATGTTCATCATATATCTCATCTCCTTTTAATGCTTTTATTTCTATTCATTTGCCGCCCATGTAGATTCCTGTTCCTCCGTATCTAGTGAGTACACAGGATCTTGCACATATCTCTCCATGTTGTCAATATTTAGCACTTTTACCATTTTCTTAGTATCATCACATGTGTAATCTTAGCATCATGAAATAGTTGCCTAAGGCCTTGCAGTTCGCTGTGCAGAGTTGCACCCCTTAGTCATGCCAGAATTTAACGATCCCCGATTGGAATCACAGATTATGTTAGGTTTCTCAGCACCATACCACTGGCTCGTGGGATTTGCCAAAGCGGTGACCTGCATCACTTCTGGCTTCCTCCCACATCAAACTGACATGCCATGATGCCGTATTCGACGTAATAAGCGCCCAGGGCGCTCTCAAAATTAGAAATAGGGGGCTCTTATTAGAATATTATTTTGGTGAAAAAAACAGAGTTGAAAGATAAATTTCGTGGTTTATGCTGACAGCCTGAAATGTTTATGTATAACAGAAATATTTTTCTAGAATTTAATTGCCCATAATTAAGGGTGCATATGACACACGAGTGCGTATTGTACGCGGATAAATAAATCTTGTGAACATTGATCAATCGGAAGGGGTGCTAATTGGGATTGTTCACTAGCCAATATAATAGCAAATGTTGCCGTGGGCGCTTATTAGAGCGGGACGCTTATTACGTCGAATACGGTAACTGAAAAGCTGTTCAAAGCAGCGTTAAACCCAACTCAGTCTCTCAGACTCCTTACATGTCGTGTCATCTTGATAGTGATCATTGTGTGTAATGCTATCTTGATATCATTACATGGCGTGTCATCTTGATAGTGATCATTGTGTGTTATGCCATCTTGATATCATTACATGTCGTGTCATCTTGATAGTGATTATTGTGTGTTATGCCATCCTGATATCATTACATGGCGTATGATCTTGATAGTGATCATTGTGTGTTATGCCATCCTGATATCATTACATGGTGTGTCATCTTGATAGTGATTATTGTGTGTTATGCCATCCTGATATCATTACATGGCGTGTCATCTTGATAGTGATTATTGTGTGTTATGCCATCCTGATATCATTACATGGCGTATCATCTTGATAGTGATCATTGTGTGTTATGCCATCCTGGTATCATTACATGGCATGTCATCTTGATAGTGATTATTGTGTGTTATGCCATCTTGATATTATTACATGGCGTGTCATCTTGATAGTGATCATTGTGTGTTATGCCATCCTGATATCATTACATGGCGTATCATCTTGATAGTGATCATTGTGTGTTATGCCATCCTGATATCATTACATGGCGTGTCATCTTGATAGTGATTATTGTGTGTTATGCCATCCTGATATCATTACATGGCGTGTCATCTTGATAGTGATTATTGTGTGTTATGCGATCCTGATATCATTACATGGCGTATCATCTTGATAGTGATCATTGTGTGTTATGCCATCCTGGTATCATTACATGGCGTGTCATCTTGATAGTGATTATTGTGTGTTATGCCATCCTGATATCATTACATGGCATGTCATCTTGATAGTGATCATTGTGTGTTATGCCATCTTGATATCATTACATGGCGTGTCATCTTGATAGTGATCATTGTGTGTAATGCCATCTTGATATCATTACATGGCGTATCATCTTGATAGTGATCATTGTGTGTTATGCCATCTTGATATCATTACATCGCGTGTCATCTTGATAGGGATCATTGTGTGTTATGCCATCTTGATATCATTACATGGCGTATCATCTTGATAGTGATCATTGTGTGTAATGCCATCTTGATATCATTACATGGCGTATCATCTTGATAGTGATCATTGTGTGTTATGCCATCTTGATATCATTACATCGCGTGTCATCTTGATAGGGATCATTGTGTGTTATGCCATCTTGATATCATTACATGTTGTGTCATTCGATGTCTTTACGCGTTGTGTCATCTTGATGTTTTTTTGTGTTGTGTCATCTTGTGTGTTGTGTTGGTGTCCCAAGGCTTGGTTGTTGTCTGCATGATCACTGTTTAGAATCCATCGTCTTCCAGAACGAGTTCTCACCTTCCAGGAGTCTTCAGATGCCAGAATTTATGCAACATTGACTGCTCTGGTGGTTTATGCTAAAGGATTTCAAACAGTCCATGTCTGTCTCTGTGTGTGTTTGCATGAAACATATTTTTCAAAATCCTTACAACAGATTGATGATATCTGTACATGTCCTATTAATTCTTCATCATAACATCTTCATTCACACATCATACATTTCACCTGGTAGCCTTGTGGTTATGGTGTTTGCTTGCCGCAACAAAGACTAGGGTTTGATTCTACTTAGGTTCGGAACAATATGTGAAGCCATTTATTGGTGCTATTGCTTGAATAATGATAAAGCGACAAACAGCCATATATTTTGAAATGCGAGATTCAGCGTCTCCCACACAATCTTCATCTTACAAAAGGGCCATAACTCTGTAATTGTTATGAAATCTCATTAAAGGGACATAACTGTACAGACAGTTGAAAAGGATATTTAAGGGGACATTACTCTTCTCTCTTGCACATGCTTCCATGACCAATTGATTTGGGGCCTTTCATAATCTTACTATTACTACTACTACTACTACTACTACAGCCTACAGTGACAATATGTGATATTGTCATGCTATTGTCTTGCTGTACTGGCAGTGACCAAGGTGATGGAGAGAAATTGAGTCAGGTTGTTAAGAACTTGACAAAATGTACTCCACAGAGCTTCAATGATACTCCTCTGTTGATGAATCTATGAATATTTTGATTCTAAGTTGTAGTGGAAATGCATAATTTCAAGTGTGGTACATCCTTCTCAAGGGAAATGTTTTGTCACAGTTTGAGCAACTTCTTTGTACTGACATTGGCTTGCGCCTATCACAGTAATAATTGGTGCAGCTTATCCTGTTGTGCAAGAGGAAGAGGAACAGACCTATCTCAGAAGATCTTAGGTTCCTAGAGTGAAAAAAAATCGAGTATTCATTGAAATTTCCATGTTGTTAGTGCACAAGCAGCGGGAATCAATATTGAGCATTCGGCAGACTGTAACTACAGCTAGGGTTGCTGGAACCAGATATATTGTACAGTTTATCGAATATGACAGCTTTGTGTGGATTAGAAATGTGTATTTTCATCCTCAGCGAGTTTTCATAATTACGGGGGTTCCTGGTCCTGAGCTTTGCTGCTGTTGTGTGTAATTCCTGTGGCAGGATCAGGTAGTCAGGCTCGGTGACTTAGTTGGTGATGGGTCATTGTGCCCTAACATCGTGAATTGTTGCGTCATTGTGCCCTAACATCGTAAATTGTTGCGAATAGGTCATCAGCAACCCATGCTTGCCGTAAAAGATGTCTATGCTTGTCGTAAAAGGTGACTAACGGGATCGGGTGGTCAGGCTCGCTGACTTGGTTGATGCATGTCATCAATCCCAATTGCGTGGATCGATGCTCATGATATCAATCACTGGATTGTCTGGGCCAGACTTGATTATTTACAGACCGCCGTCATATAGCTGGAATATTACTGAGTGCGGCGTTAAACAACAAACCAACCAAACAACCCGTGAATTGTTGCCTTTTATATCGGTCACGGATTTGTCTTGTTGAAATATTTACAGGCTGCCACCCTGTTGTTGGAACATTGCTGACTGCCACTGGAACAAGGACAAACAAAATTTTCACCCTGTCATTTTCTCATCCATACTCATCTTTTCTTTCATTCTCTTTAGCGGCGTCAAACAACAAACAGACCCAACCATTGACTCTCATTCCCCATCACTTCCATACTCCTCCACTCTTCATTCTGTTTAGTTCTCTCTTTCCTCATTCCGACTGCCCCTTTCATCATCACTCTTTCATTCTGATTTATTCTCTCCCTCCAGGGTTAGAAATTAATTTTCATTCTCACTTGTCCACAAAAATGATCATCTACAGAGTTGTCATATAACTATTGGTGAAAGTGGTCATCAACAAGGGGGGCGGTCGGGTAGCCTAGTGGTTAAAGCGTTCGTCACGCTAAAGACCCGGGTTCGATTCCCGACATGGGTTCAATGTGTGAAGCCCATTTCTGGTGTCCCCCGCCGTGATATTGCTGGAATATTGCTAAAAGCGGCGTAAAACCAAACTCACTCACTCACTCGCTCATCAACAAGGAAATGTCACTAGACCTTCATGAATTTTATTTGTCTCGGACTAGCAGACTTGCCTCAATTTTGGCCTAGCTCTCAATCACAGTCATTTTCATGCTCATTCACTCTTTCATTCAGTTTTGTTCTCCTGGTCTCCTGGCCAGGAGAATCCATCAGGCAAACCCATGAAGCTCTTCACAGTCCTGTACAGACAGGCTGCTGACTGAGGCACATCTGGAACAAAGATTGGTTTTCTCCTGCTTGAATGTTATCTGCCTTCGTTTTATAGAGAAAACTCCCCACCCAATGGGATGTGAAATGTTTCTTCTGCAAACAGATGATCTACAGAAAGAATTGGCCTGGAGACTTGTGTTCATGCTGGTGGATAGAATTGTAGGATTGAGAGTTGGGCAGTATTTGATCTGGTCTGAAGGGGATAGAGTACGTCTGTCTGTCAGAGATGGCAGTGATTGCTGTGATGGGATGTTGAGGGAGGGGAGATTTGGGGGAAGGGAGGGGGTTGAGGGAGGGAAGGATGGGAGGGGGTTTTGGTTGAATAAGGGTAAACTTTTGTCTTCAGATAGTTTTAGGGGATAAAAATGGGAGGGGAATTGGGTTGTTTCGGGAACTGGTTGTAGTATACTTGAGCTTTAGTGAGGTGAGGGTGGAGAGTAATACAGGAGGGGGGTGGGGTGGGGTGTGTGTGTTATCAGCAAGTTGAGGTAAGGTAGTTTTATTAGGGAGGTGAGGTGTGGCAGTGTTATCAGCAAGATGTGGCAGTGTTTTCAGCAAGATGTGGCAGTGTTATCAGCAAGATGTGGATGAAATAGGGAGGTGAGGTTTAAGTGGGGGTTTTGTGCAGTGAGTTTAGTTGATGGGGTGTTATCAGGAAGGTGTGATGGGTTGTTACGCGGATGGTGAAGAGAGGGGGTGCTGTGAGGGATGGAGTGTTATGAGGGCTGTGATGGGGTTGTTAGGGAGGTGAGGGGTGGAGGGGCTGTTTGTAAGTTGAGGGGGTTTCCGGGGGTTGTTATGATGGAGGTGAGGGATGGTTGCAGGTGGAATTTGAATTATACAAATTGTATGTTTAAATAAAAGGGAGAGGATCCTGACCACAGAGATAATTTAGCAAGTATAGTTACATAATAAATATTATTGGGAACTACCCTCTTTCTTTGTGTAGCAGTACCTTGATGTTTGTGTATTTTTTGTATGCCGAAATGTAACTCAGATCATGCTGAGGAAAGTCAGTTTTAAACACAAACCATGCAGTCCAGTATGACCTAATTGATGGGCGACAAACATGAAATCAAGTATGGTGACAGAGCCCTAGTAATCAGCTCGTTACAATCAATGAACTGCAATTATGAATAAATGGAGGAACTTGTATTCCTTGGGTATTGGTGTGATGTTTCTGTTTGGGCTTGTTGGCTGAATATTGATTGCCACGATGTGAGGATTGTCCGTTATGGTAATAAGGCCTTTCAAAGTACTCCGTTGTGGGCGGGGAGACAGGCATTTGTCAGGATGTGACTTGTGGCTGTGCCTTACAATTCACTGTTTGATATTTCCTGATAAGCGTTAATTTGGCACTTCAGGTTAAACAGGCTGTTGACTAGTTTCTGTTGTTGGTTCACAAAGGGATGTATGAGGTCTATTTACTGTGGTAATTTCATGTAGTGATAGTTGATGGTCAGATTGAAACAAGTACATCATTGTTCTTGTGTGTCGTTAAGACAAGTGATCAGACAAAGGTACTCTGTTGCGTCCCACATTGTCACACGGCTATCCTGTCTTGTTACAGCCTACATTTCTCTGAACAACATTGGGGGCGGTTGGGTAGCCTAGTGGTAAAAGCGTTAGTTCGTCACGCCGAAGACCCGTGTTTGATTCCCGACATGGGCACAATGTGTGAAGCCCATTTCTGGTGTCCCCCGCTGTGATAATGCTGGACTATTGCTAAAAGCAGCGTAAAACCATACTCACTCACTCTGAACAACATTGACACACACATCTTGATACATCCTGTCTTACCCGGGGTAGAATTGGTCTTCAGCAACCCATGCTTGTCGTAAGAGATGACTAACAAGATTAGATGGTCAGGCATGCTGACTTGGTTGATGCATGGACTATTACTGAGAGCAGTGTTTAGCTCCCAACAACAAAACAGCAGGCATCTCTCGGAACAACACTTACACAATCCATCTCTCCGAACAACACTCACACAATCCATCTCTCCGAACAACACTCACACAATCCATCTCTCCGAACAACACTCACACAATCCATCTCTCCGAACAACACTCACACAATCCATCTCTCCGAACAACACTCACACAATCACAGACCTAAGTGTAAAATCTGCTCTTTTGGAAGCACTTGTAAAATCTTCAACACCTTATCATCAAATCCCAGAGAGTGTTGTGACATTGTTGTTGTCAGTAGATCTGCTAGTTCTCATAAATTTGTGTCAGATGTGTTGTACTTAACATTACACGTGGAATGCTGAAAGCTGCCTTGTTTTTCAAACACACCAATGTCAGTTTTTAAGAGAGCCATTCATAAATCTAAAAAGAATATTGTTTCAAAAATATGAAAATTGGTTTTAGGTGTCTTGAACATCTTTTCCCAATGATATAAATGAAAACCTGGTTTGTAAGCAATTATTATTATTATTATTACAGCTTGATATAATTTGTATACCAAGGTGCCCATGTTATATTTGGCTTTTAGGAAGAGCATGTATAGATGAGCAGATTGTCTTGATCTGGCGTAGACCTCGTCATTGATAACAGTTAACTAGGACGTAGCTGCTTCATCTGTGTGATTGTCACAGTTGCATGTGTGTAATAGTTTGTGATAATTAAACAAGTATTAACTAATCAACTATATTTTCAAGGAAATATCAGACTAATCCCAGTGATTACATTTCAAGACATCAAAATAATGCCAAGCATTTTGTGGAATGTTTGAGTAAAAAATCATTACCATGCTGTATTGATGTCCAGAATTTGATAATAAATAATTTTGAAAATAGTATTTTCATTTGAGGATGAGTGCTGAAAATCTTTGATTGTGTAATACGCTTATAAACTTATAAATTGTCATTACAGAATTTTAAAATATGTTTTGGCAAGATTCCAAGTTAAAAAAACCCTCAAAACACTAAGGATGAACGTTAAGTCTTGCATGGTTGCCTCCCTTGAATGACGGCTTTGTAGATAGTTTGTGATACCAATGCCCAGTGTGATCAATATTTGAGTGCTAGTTCAGGGCTGGTAAGTATTACATAAAGGCCCATGTTGATCAGATTTAGGCCATGATATAGAATTACAACTCTAGGGATATAAGAAATGGAAATGTAGACATGATATCAAATATCCTGTTTGTTGTACATGTGTGGACATATCGGACAATATGTCTTCGTAATGAAACTACATTCTGCTGTTTGTTATAAGTACATACGCCAACAGAAATAGATGGATGTATATACAAAATAAATTGATGAGACCTCTAAGTGAACACCAGCCATTTCATCAAATCCTGTAATATTTATCACCCAGTAATTTAAGGCCTATTTTGATTCATCAAGGAATGGGTACACATGCATTTTACTGGATACCTATCTGTCATGGTTGTTTGTGCTGCTAATATAGCAGCATGCGACAAGTGAAAAGCTGAAAGTAAGCGGATAGAAACGATTCAACTTGCATTTTGATGTGTAATTATCCATTGGGACTAAATTCAACAAATAAATTTTTCATTATAACACTGGTAACTAAAAATGACATTTGTTAAAAAAATAATTTCTAATTATCCGTTATGTTGGGAATCCCCACCCCAAAACAACCTTGTTTTGGGAAGTGAATCGGCTACAAATGGCAGCTGAGACATTTATGATTTAGAAACTGTCGCTTTAGAAACTGTCGCTAGGGCGGAGCTTGTGCCCATCTCTCACCAAAATGGCAGCAGGGATCTGGTAAAATGCATACTTACCAAACAATGTGCCCAGGGAAAAGGCAGCCACCTGCTGAATGATTCAGTCTATTAGACTTTCACGTTGTGTCGGTGTTGTCTGTAAGTTCTCATTTGTTTCAGAAGCGAAAAATCCTGGGTGATTCAACCTCCACTCAAGTATTACGTGACCTTGAGATCTCACTCCGTACCAACCACATAGAGTGAGTACTGTTTGAATGTAACTATGGTAACATGAGGCTGCACATGATACTCGCTTCACCATCCTCGTATCATTATTGGAGGAAGGGGTAGTAAAGGGTGATTCAGTTTGCTGTGTTGAGTTGTGTCCCTTTGCCGTGCCAGGATTCACTCGATATGGCTGAGTCATGAACCTGGGCCTGTCAGCACCAAGCACCTATGCACATCGTGATAAACATTCACTGCCTGCGTCACTTTGCCCTTTCCTCCATCATTAGAATAGGTCTTCAGCAACCCATGATTGACGTAAAACACGACTTTGCTTGTCATAAGGGGCGACTAACAGAATCGGGTGGTCAGGCTCTCTGACTTGGTTGATGCATGTCATCGTATCCCAATTGCATGGATCAATGCTCACAATATCAGCCACTGGATTGTGTGGTCCAGACACGATTATTTACGCATCTCGTCATATAGTTGGAATATGGCAGCGTTAAACACCAAACAAACTAAAGAAGCCTTAAGCTCACTCAATATATTTATCACTTCATCTCAGAGAATGATAATTCGTTTTGTGTTTCACAATGAATGTTTTGTACTAAAAGAGACACTTCATTGATCAGTTGACATTGAATCAAGGTCTTTATCATTGATGTTCACAACTGATACTTTCAGCTTACAGATATGTACATGATACATGCATAATGTTTACAATTACAAATTATTTGATTTGTCTCCAGATGGGTGCGTGAGTTCCTCAGTGAAGAAAACCAGGGATTGGATGTCCTGGTGGACTACCTGTCATTCACTCAAGTTGTCATGAGGTGGGTAAATTATTCATCACAGGTGTCATTCTCTCAAGTTGTCATGAGGTGGGTAAATTATCTGTCACAGGTGTCATTCTCTCAAGTTGTCATGAGGTGGTTAAATTATTCGTCATGGGTGTCATTTTCTCAGTTGTCATGAGGTGAGTAAATTATCCATCATAGGTGTCATTCTCTCATGTTGTCATGCGATGGGTAAATTATCTGTCACAGGTGTCATTCACTCAAGTTGTCATGAGGTGGGTAAATTATAAGTCGCAGGTGTCATTCTCTCAAGTTGTCATGAGATGAGTAAATTATAAGTCACAGGTGTCATACTCTCAAGTTGTCATGAGGTGTTTAAATTATCTGTCACAGGTGTCATTCTCTCAAGTTGTCATGAGGTGTTTAAATTATCTGTCACAGGTGTCATTCTCTCAAGTTGTCATGAGGTGTTTAAATTTTCTGTCACAGGTGTCATTCACTCAAGTTGTCATGAGATGAGTAAATTATAAGTCGCAGGTGTCATTCTCTCAAGTTGTCATGAGATGAGTAAATTATAAGTCACAGGTGTCATTCTCTCAAGTTGTCATGAGGTGTTTAAATTTTCTGTCACAGGTGTCATTCACTCAAGTTGTCATGAGATGAGTAAATTATAAGTCACAGGTGTCATTCTCTCAAGTTGTCATGAGGTGTTTAAATTATCTGTCACAGGTGTCATTCTATCAAGTTGTCATGAGGTGTTTAAATTTTCTGTCACAGGTGTCATTAACTCAAGTTGTCATGAGATGAGTAAATTATAAGTCGCAGGTGTCATTCTCTCAAGTTGTCATGAGATGAGTAAATTATAAGTCACAGGTGTCATTCTCTCAAGTTGTCATGAGGTGTTTAAATTATCTGTCACAGGTGTCATTCTCTCAAGTTGTCATGAGGTGTTTAAATTTTCTGTCACAGGTGTCATTCACTCAAGTTGTCAAGGTGGATGCACCATCTGTCATAGATGTCAGACCAATGAAAAATGCAGTGCTTGGACAGTTTAGGGATATCATGTCATGCATTTCTCCATTATAGCCTTGGGAAATTTGTTTAACAAATTTTTGGATACCTGATTCTGGTGAGATAGGTTTAGGGTATTCAGGAAAAGGTGGGAATGGTGCTGCTCCTGTGTTGGCATTAATGCAGACATCTTTCTTCTAATTCAAATTGTCAGGAAGTGGGTACAGCATCTGTTGGTGCCATGTCTTCACTGGGTAGGCATAAACCCTGTTAATGCTGGCCCGGCCGCGTCATACCAAAAGACGTTAAAAGATGGCACTTGTTGTTACCCTGTCTGGCGCTCGGCATTAAGGGGCTAAAACAAGGACTGGTCGGCTCGGAGTCAGTATACTGTGTCTGAGTGGGATATTCATGTTAAACTGCGGCATGGTATCTCAGTGGGCTAGCACTATAAATCGGCATCAGTCCGGACTAGTACAAGCAGCCACACAAACACACACACGTACATGCACGTCGCTATATAAGTGCAATAATCTTGGACGCGACGTTAAACCCAATTTCACCTCACCTGTAAATGCTGGACAGAGTCAGATAGGGCCTTACACCCACAATATGTCAGGAGGCAGTGTTAAAGATTCTAACCCCATGATGCTGTCAGATACATCAACATACTCTGACAGCATCATGTGGTTAGAACCCCTACATACTCAACCTGTGAAGATCCGGGGTAGAATAGATCTTCAGCAACCCATACTTGCTGTAAAAGGCGACCATGCTTGTCGTAAGAGGCGACTAACTGGATCGGGTGGTCAGGCTCGCTGACTTGGTTGATGCATGTTGTTATCCCCCGCCGCGCGAAAGCGCGAAGCGGGGGATATAGTATTCACGACCGTCCGTACGTACGTCCGTACGTCCCACCTGTTTGTTGCCGCGATATCTCAAGAACTAAACACTGGATTGTCTTCATATTTGGAACTATGGTGTATATACAGACTCCGCAGACACCAGTCGGTTTTGGTGACCTTGATCCCATTTTCAAGGTCACAGCAGACAAATCTGCTTTTAGAGTTGGAAAACGGTGTTGCCGCGATATCTCAAGAACTAAACACTGGATTGTCTTCATATTTGGAACTATGGTGTATATACAGACTCCGCAGACACCAGTCGGTTTTGGTGACCTTGATCCCATTTTAAAGGTCACAGCAGGCAAATCTGCTTTTGGAGTTGGAAAATGGTGTTGCCGCGATATCTCAAGAACTAAACACTGGATTGTCTTCATATTTGGAACTATGGTGTATATACAGACACCGCAGACACCAGTCGGTTTTGGTGACCTTGACCCCATTGTCAAGGTCACAGCGGGCAAATCTGCTTTTGGAGTTAGAAAACGGTGTTGCCGCGATATCTCAAGAACTAATCGCTGGATTGTCTTCATATTTGGAACTATAGTGTATATACAGACACCGCATACACCTGTCAGATTTGGTGACCTTGACCCCATTTTCAAGGTCACAGCAGGCAAATCTGTTTTTGGAGTTGGAAAACGGTGTTGCCACAATATCTCAAGAACTAATCGCTGGATTGTCTTCATATTTGGTACTATGGTGTACAGGCGGGGGATATTTCGTCACTCTGTGACAAATACTTGTTGTATCCTAATTGCTTGGATTGATGTTCATGATGTCAATCACTGGATTGTCTGGTCCAGACTTGATTATTTACAGACCGCCGTCATATACCTGGAATATTGCTAAGTGCGGGTTTAAACAACAACAAACAAACAAAACATACTCACTTTCTGCCCAGAGACCAAAAGGTCAGTGGTTAGATCCAATCCCCTGTTGGAGTCATTAACAGATGGTACTTGTTACCCTACCTGGTGCTTGGCATTAAGGGGATAAAACAAGGACTGATCATCTCGGAGTCAGTATGCTGTGTCTTAGTGGGTTATCCATGTTAAACTGTGGCATGGTATCTCAGTGGATTAGCACTATAAGACCAGCAAAGGTCCAGACTAGTACAAGGGGCTACTCGCGAGCATGCATACCAATATTTAAATGCAATAATCATGGTCGTGACATTAAACCCCAGTTCACCTCATCCCCCCATACACACTCCTCTCATGTTGTGTTTGTTCCAGACGAGAACAGTTGTTGAACAAGGAGAAGACGTCCAGCCTGGAGTCGGGGTTGAGTCGGAGTCCTGGCCGGAGGTTGCGGCGCTCCAACACACTGGGCTCACCGCGGTCTATAAAATACTCGAGTAAACTTAACATGGGGGAGGCGAGGGACGATGTGCATGTCTGCATAATGTGCTTGAGGGCAATCATGAACCACCAGGTAGGAAGCACACCTGTGATGACAGAAAGATAACGTTATTGTAACATTTCCAAGTTTTGCAATTGAGGGCCTAATTTGCAGTCATGGTCCACAACTACAATTTGTGACTTGAACCACTCATCTGAAAACGAATCTTGTAAAGTTTCATTTGGTTTTAGGAAGCTTAGCTGATAGTAGCTATGGTACATGAGGCTGTGAACAAGTTGGGCTAGTAGACTTAAGATTTACTGTCTTAAGTCAGTAATAAAGATTGGAGGCAATTATAATCTTAGTGCTAAGATCACTAAGTTCAAGGGGTCACAATACACTATGCTTGATCTCAGGGCCACTTGATTGGGATTTGGTTTGTCACAGTATATGGGCTACCCAACAGATTGCTTGACAAGGTACTCGATGACGTGGAATGTTGCTCATAATATCAGCCACTGGTTTATCTGGTCCTAACTTAATTATTTACATTCACTGATGCCTTAGTCCATCAGAGTACAATGACATGGAATCACACCAGCAAGCCTGTCAGCTCAATTTTGTCCCCCTCTTAAAATGATCATAGGTTCTGGGGACCTATTGTAAGTCGGGGTAGAGAATCAGAGAGAATTAAAACAGGGCCAAGACTATCTACTGTGAAATAGAAACACACTGACATAATTGAAGCAGAATGAGTTTGAAATTGAATAAATATTTGTCTAAATGATTTTCTACAGTGCCCTGCCCTGTGTTTCAGTATGGTTTCAACCTGGTGATAGCTCACAAGCACGCCATCAACTGTATAGCGCTCAGTCTTAACCACCGGAGCCTCAGGTAGGTACCCAATAGTGCTAGCTCCCTACTGTCCAGCACTGACACAGTTGACCTTACTCTGCCTGTCAGGAGCATCATCATAGCTTGTTCTTGTTCATCAGCGATGGTCTGCCTGGTGATCAGATTCATCTTAGTGAATGGATGTATTTTAATGCAAATGTACAAGCAGTGTTCTAATACCGTATTCGATGTAATAAGCGCCCAGGGCGATATTTGCTAATATATTGGCTAGTGAACAATCCCAATTAGCAACCCTTCCAATTGATCAATGTACACAAGATTTATTCGTGTGTTATATCCACCCTTGATTATGGGCAATTAAATTCTCGAAAATATATCTGTCGTGTATGATACACACAGATTTTTCTTTTGTATCATTTCAGGCTGTCAGCATAAACCACGAAATTTACGATCTTTCAACTCTGTTTTTTATCACCAAAATTCATTCTAAAAAGAGCCTCTATTTCTAATTTTGAGAGCGCCCTGGGCACTTATTGCGTCAAATACAGTAGTCTTAATGTTGTGATTGCAAGAACACATGAAACATTTAGCAAAATTTTGTCATGGAGAATTGTAAGCAGGCTGGTAGAGATGGCCACCATTACAGTTTTCTCTGAATCATTGCAGTTGATTTTACCAAATTCTGCCGATATGATTAATAGGAATGTATTACAAATTTTGTCAAACATTGCCAGTTATTTTGACTGTATTGACTTTGTATTAACTATCTGCAGGTTTTGTCACAACAAATTAATAATCAATTAATAATCATTTGTCTTGCTTGTCAAGGAAGGGTTAACGATTTTGAGGAGTTTGCGTGATAGAGATGTTTTGTTTTATTATCTAAACCATACATCATTCAGGCGAACTGTGATTAATTCTTTTTTTACAATATTGATTTTGTGCACAGTAAAAACAATGAAATGATAGTTTTCTTCCTTGTACACTTGGGGGTACAGGTGTCCCAGTCTAAGATGCCACAATTCTCAGTGCAGAAATCTATGGCTGTGGTTTCGAATCCCGATTTGCCCTGATTATTTTTGTTCACCATACCCGTGCTCGTGGGTTTCACCAGAGTGGTAAAGGCAGAGACCTGCGTCACTTCAGGCCTTCCCCTGACATTAAGCTGACACACTGTGATTTAACTGATACAGTTCAAAGTGGTTTTAAACCGACGTCACTCCTTGTACAGGTGTAGGTATGTTTTGTTGATGGTTGGAGCCTCCAATTTTGGGAGCTATGCTTTGCCGTGCGTTATTACCGAAGCGCGCAATAACGAGGGAACACTGTACGTAACAACTTGTAATGTGTGTGAAAAGTCCTACAAAAATAAGCTATTTGCAGGGGGCGTGGCCTAAATGCAAATGTCTGATTGGGATTTTAAATTTTCCGGACCCCTGGTTGGAGGGCTCACGGACAGGACTGATGTTGTGTGACTGTTGCAGGACAAAGGCTCTGGTGCTCGAGCTGTTAGCTGCTGTCTGCCTAGTCAGTGGGGGGCATGAGATCATTCTCTCTGCATTTGATAATTTTAAAGAGGTGAGTGCAAAATGTTTCTTGAAAAAGGAACTGTGTTCCTTTGTTCACTTCATTAGATGTTGCAATTAGTGTCTTGTGCCATTATGAGATGTTCCTGACATGATTATACACATACGCATACCAAAAGACGTTAAAAAATGGTACTTGTTGTTACCCTGGCTGGCACTTGGCAGTTAAGGGGTTGAAACAAGGACTGGTCGGCTCGGAGTCAGTATACTGTGGCATGGTATCTCAGTGGGCTAGCACTATAAAATCGGCATTAGTCCGGACTAGTACAAACAACCAAACACTTCTGCATGCATGTCACTATAAAAGTGCAATAATCTTGAATGAGACATTAAGCTACATTTCACCTCACCTCACATCTACACAAAGTTTATAGAATTGAACTCTCAGGCAGGAAACAGATAAAAATAAAAGCTTAATGCAAAATAATGCTATTATTTGGAGTGCGTTCAGCTCTGTCTGTCTATCTAAAACATGAAAGACAAGTCATCCTTGTCATAGCTCTAATGTTGAAAGGTAGATATTCAAGGGGTCCTTAGATTCAAATAGTATTGGCACAAACCTCAAGGACCCCAGGACCCAATAATTTATAAAACTGTATGGAAACACAATGCACAGTTTGATGTCTTGACTGTGTGAGTGTCAGGGGTCTTTGAACTTTATAGCATTTGTTACATGAATGAGAAGTTACGTTATTTTGATGAAGCATGTTTATGCTAATGTGTGTTTGTGTTTCCAGGTCTGTGATGAAGGACACCGGTTTGAGACATTGATGGATTACTTTAAAAATTATGAAGAATTTCATATAGACTTCATGGTGCGTACGTCAAGTTGTAGTAGTTCACAATATTGCGACAAACATTTATAGAATATAAGACATTTAAATGACGACAAAATGAGTAATCAGTATTTAATCCCTCAAGCGTTACAGATGCTGGTTGCTCCGTGAGGATCTAGGTTAGAATTGGTCTTCACCAAAACTTGCTTGTCGTAAGAGGCAGCTTTCGGGTTGTCAGGTTTACTGACTTGGATGATGCATGTCATCGTGTCCCAATTGCATAGATTGATGCTCATAATGTCAGTCACTGGATTGTCTGGTCCAAACCTGATTATTTTCAGACAGCTGTCATATAGCTGGAATATTGCTAAGTGCGGCATTAAACGACAAACAAACATAAATTGCCAAATGATCTTCAAAATTAGTGTGTATCCATGTTTGTTGGTTGTCCATGTGGTCTCGGCATGTTTCATAGAAGGCTGTGTTTGCAGGTTGCGTGTATGCAGTTCATCAACATTGTGGTCCACTCGGTGGAAAACATGAACTTCAGAGTGCATTTACAACATGAGTTCACAGAAATAGGACTGGATGACTATCTGGAGGTGAGGAGTATTTTAGTTCTGTACTCGGTGCAGCATAAGACCGCCTCCGTGGTCCAGTGGATACAGCATCTGTCCAGAGGGAAGAAAGGTTATTCTCAGAGGAGAAAAAAAAAAAAATGTTCCTCCCTCATCACATTTTTTCACAGTTACTTTTTAAAAAAAAGGCATACCTCCCTCACTTTTGAGAAAAATAAGCCAGAGAAACATTATTGTTTAAAATGTCGTCCTAGTATGTAAGAAGACCCATGAAGATCCGGGGTAGAATAGGTCTTCAGCAACCCATGCTTGCCGTTAAAGGCGACTATGCTTGTCATAAAAGGCGACTAACGGGATCGGGTGGTCAGGCTCGCTGACTTGGTTGATGCATGTCATCGATCCCAATTGCGTGGATCGATGCTCATGATATCAATCACTGGATTGTCTGGTCCAGACTCGATTATTTACAGACCGCCGTCATATAGCTGGAATATTGCTGAGTGCGGCGTTAAACAACAAACCAACCAACCAACCTAGTATATTATAAATATATTTTGACTGTGCCCAGTAGATTTAATTGCATCACTGCATTGCCACAGTATTTTGTCAGTAACACAATTTGTTTTAGCTGTTTGCAGCATGGGGGCTATATATGCAAATGAAAGTCTCAATGGCACTCCCTGCGTGATCCTTTCTGTATTAGGACCTCACTATCGGGATACATATCACACTGTGTATCATCTCAATTCTATATGTGTTGCGGAACGTTGTCGTGAATATCTGCGGTAGTTGATCATCGTCAACATTACCGTCACCTTCTTTATTGTTGTAGAAACTTCGGAACACAGAGAGTGATCGACTAGCTGTTCAGGTACATGCGTACCTAGACAATATGATCGATGTGGCCCAACTGCTGGAAGATTCAGAGACAAAGACGGAAGCTTTGGAGAAAGTTGCTGAGCTGGAAGACGATCTGTCTCAGGTAAAAAAATCTTCAACTGTGATGAAAATGTTCTTTTTGACATTGCTATTTTTGTAAAAGTCGCTATAGCAAGTCTTCATCTGAGGAGAAATGTTTCATGTTGGTGTGCAACAGACAACAAACCCCTGGAGTCGTGATTGTCAATCCTAAAGCGTAGGTGTCCAATAGTGTTGGATTGGACTTAATACTGATACTCACTGGGCACAAGTATGAACTGTTTATCTCTCCTTGTGTACATGGTTTACAAATTACAGTATTTGTGTATTTTCTAGGTAAATGAGAGGCTACAGGAGGTGGAAGAGGAAGCTATGGTGAAAACAGGTGAGTCACCCACACTTGTAGTTGTACAACTCAGTCAGTACATATACAGGCGATGATCGATCTATGCTCTATTTGTATCTTAAGTGATTCTCTGTTATGAATCCCTTGTCAGTGGTTGACTACAGTCATGCACATTGTGAGAAAATCTCATCTTTGCAAATACAATTTGTCAAGGTTCCCTGATGTAGTATCTTGGCCTTTTTGGAAGCGATTAATGTATGTGACAAAATCTAAGTTGAATCTGGAATAGTCAGTTTTTTTATGATTGAGTTATTTTGCAGTATTCGCTCAAATTGAAATATTTTTATCTGTATTTTGCAGTGGAGTTAGAGAAACAGTTATCTGAAGCAACAACAGAATTAGAAGAAATCAAGGTGAGTTGATCATACAAAGGTGAATACGAAAACAACATTCACCCTCCCACCTGGGGCCCTGATAGCTATGACTAAGATCACTTTGGGGAGTGAGATCCCCTGAACCCCTTACTCACTAAGATCACTCACAGTGTGGCCCTGATATCTATGGTACTAATATTGCATTGTACAATGGGGACAGTATAGCCATTCGCTAAGATGGTCTTTGTAAAATGGGACTCTATTCTTACATTGGTTGTCTGGTTAAGACCTGGTACTCACCAGCTTTCTGTGCAATTGGACCGCCTCCGTGGTCTAATGGTAGAACGTCTGCCTGGAGGGCGAAAGGTCAGGGGTCTTCAGCCACGGCCATGTCATACCAAAAGATGTTAAAAAGACGGTACTTGTTGTTACCCCTCTGGTGCTCGGCATTATAGGACTAAAACAAGGACTGGTTGACTCGGAGTCAGTATACTCTGTCAGAGTGTTAGTATTCATGTTTAACTGCTGCATGGTATCTCAGTGGGCTAGCACTTTAAAACCATCATTGATCCGAACTTGTACAAACAGCCTCACAACGTGCATACACGTCGCTAAGTGCAATGATCGTGGACGTGACAATAAACCCCATTTCACCTCCCCTTCTGTGCAGTTGTGTTTGGTAAAGGTAAATTACTTCACTTTCGATTAGGAGAGATTAAGTTATGATATAACCAGTAGGTTTTCAGTAGTAGTTAAGGTGAAACAAGTTGTATGAGAGGGAGAATCTGTTGACTCATACTGGCTGTTTGTTTACCAGGAGGATTTGCGTGAAAAGGAGAGCGAAATGAACACGTTACGGAAGACGGTGAACGAGAAGGATGAAGAGTCACGGAAACGGCAGTCGATGCTGGACGCCAAGCTGCAGGAGTTGGAGGTCCTCAAGAACCAAGTTGGAAGTTAGTCCCAGAATTATTCCGTATAGACTATGTTGATGTTGTGGCAGTGTTGATGTGTGTTGTTATTAATATATGGCAGCTCACTCAATCAATGAGCTGACCGAGTTCAAGTTCATCTTCACTAGGTCATGTATGAAGCGTGTTAGATTAATTTTTGTGTAGGCGTGGAAACGTGAATATTAAAACGCACATGCATTTCACACCAATGTTTTAACACCCTGGTTCCAGATAATGTTATACATGTAGTACATAGGGATATTTGTTTTCAGCAGAGCCAGCCATGCCCAACGGACTGCCCCCTCCCCCTCCTCCAATTGCCCCAGTCAGTGCTCCTGCACCTCCTCCTCCACCTCCACCCCCTCCCCCACCTCCTCCGCCCCCAGGCACTGGTCCTCCTCCCCCGCCACCACCCCCGGGGGCGGCCATCCCCAACATGTCTGCCATGACCATCAAGAGGAAGATACAGACCAAGTACAGGTTGCCAATACTCAACTGGACTCCACTCAAACCACAGCAGGTCAAGGGGACCATTTTCTCCGATCTGGATGATGAGAAGCTATACGCGGTAGGTCATTGTCACACTTCGTGACGAGAACGATTTTCATGCAATATTGATCTATCCGTTGCTACCAACATTGTGGTGTGACAAGGGCCGGTCGGGTAGCCTAGTGGTTAAAGCGTTCGCTCGTCACGCCAAAGACCCGGGTTCGATTCCTGAACATGGGTACAATGTGTAAGGCCCATTTCTGGTGTCCCCCGCCCTGATATTGCTGGAATATTGCTAAAAGCGGCGTAAAACCTCACTCACTCACTCACTCACTCACTGTAGTGTGACATGAGCAAAAGGGAGATAACTCGAAGACATTTTCACATTGATAACAATGGAAGCACCAGCCTATGTTGTATCTATATGGTTCTTGTCAACAGGATGCTTATGTAGTTCTTTCAAATATTTATGCAATGTTTATATTTAATGTTAAAATACCTCTGAATTTGGGAAAGGTGTAAGTTTGGAATCCTAGTTAAATCCCTAGGGAACTAAACAAGTCATGACTTAGCATATGAAGCAGAAGTGACAAGAAACTTACCTTTGTTCACTTGTTCCCACTGCAGGTAATAGACTTCGAGGACTTTGAGGAAACATTTCGTCTGGGTCCAGCTGGGCCAATGCGTCAATCATCGACAGGCACGCCGAAGTTGTTGAGGAAGAACAAGAAACCAGAAAGTATTTCCTTGATGGAGGCAAACAGACTCAGGAATGTTGGTCAGTAGATAAACCTGAACACAACGCCCAATTGTCCTCTCGATTCGAATTTGCAACTCAGATATGATTTATTCCTTAAATAATAATTGCAAATAATACGCCAATCTGAAAAATCACAAGGACGAAATTTTCATAGACACCGGTAAAGAGAGGGTCATTATGTAGCCTTAGCATCGTCTTCTGCAAACACAAGCGTATCTTGTTTATCGACTTCTAAGAAGTCTATTTATAGTGTTGCATCTGTCAAATCAGTACACTCTACTTGTATTATCAGAAGTTGCTGTAGTCCGAAAGGAAACTAACTGAAAACATTTGTCGGGCTTTGGTGTTCCAACCAGAAGATCATAACAAAATACTAATTGTAATTTGGTCCATCCTCAATTATCTACTAACCTACTTGATGTAGCTGGAATATTGCTTACTGAGGTGTTATACAAACCTGGTTGATTGTGTTATCTTACCCTGATGCCATTGTAGTTGTTCATGCTGTCAACCACTGGTTTACCTGCTCAATTGATTATCTACACGGTACTGCTAGAATGTTGCTTACTGCTGCATTAACAACCTTCAGTCACTGCATTGAAGGATCTGTCCTGACAGTCACTATGGCACTCGTTGTCCCACCTGTCACTGATCTAGTAGACCGACCACTTCCTGAGGTTCACAAGAAAGTTAACAGATCTACACAGTCTCCAGTAAATCAGCAAACGTTCTAGAAAGACCCCCTGTGGGGATTTCAGGTTAGCCTAGGTCTCTGGCAACCTATGCTGGTCGTTAGAGGCTACCAAATGGATCGGGCTCAATGACTTGTATCCCGATCGAGGCTGACGGTATCAATCAGTGGATTGTCTGGTCCAGATTCTATTATTTACAGGATGACATCATAGCTGGAAGAAAGCTGAGTGCATCGCTAAACAATGAACCAATCCTATAAAGAGTTCTTGATGTGAAATTTTGTTTCCAGCAATCACAAGAAGGAAGATGGATATGACAAATGAAGAAATAGTCAAGGCCATCATGTCGTGAGTATTGTGTAGCTATGTCCTGTGAAGTAGATTCCAGGGGGGAAATGTCCAGTTGTCTGATGTGCTGCAGGCCACTGCGGAGTTGCATCCCTCAGGCTTGCTGGAATCCTATGATTGACTCCTGGTTCTTCAGCGCCATACCCAGTGAGAAATTAAGAGGGGTCCAATAGTCCATTCATTTTATCATATATACATGAAATCAGGAGACTAGTTGATTTCTCACAAAATCTAGCCATATTACATAAACTACTTGTCTCAAATGAGCTGTATACTAGTTGGATTTTGCCAGTGCGTTCTACCCGTGGAGTCCATGGTGTTTTCTCCTATGGTATTTGAATCTGGTAACACTCTAAATTTTAATCTTATACATCTGAGTCGAGGAACCTTAACTTTATGCCTATTTTCTAACACTGCATGCCAGGGTAAAAGTGTAAGCCGTTCATCACTGTGGACATAACTCCCACCACCACCTGACAAGCTGTGACGTAACTGTAGTCGTGTTCAAAGCGACGTTAAACCAACTCACTCTCTAGATCCACTGGCTAGATTGTGAACAGATGAGACATGGTTGTATCAAGGTTTCTCCACTCTGTTTCAAACAACAAAGTTACAAAAAGTTACAAAGTTATAAAAGTTACATGTCTTTCCATTCACTCCTGATTAGGGTTAGAAATTGGCACTAGTCCTATAGTCCTTGCCAAACTGCCCAATAGTAAAGGTATCCTAAGGACTAGTAGAATTTTGACATTTTAAAGGTCTTGCTATATGCTATCATTATAAGGACTAGTGGACTGAAACTGTTAGTTTCTACCGCTGCTGATGCTGTGATGTGAAAGTAGAAGTCGAAGACACTAGGCCTGGGATAGGTTACTCGGGTCCTTGGGTCATTGGGTACTAAGTAGGACCCAGGGGTACCCACAGGACTATATCACATGATAAATTGCTGGATGACAAACATCACTATAATTCCATGGTTACACTCCAAGTCACTCATATCCGCTTTCCTTCTACCTCCCATATGTTTGAATGAAGAGTGAGTGAGTGAGTTGGGTTTAACGCCGCTTTTAACAGTATACCAGTTATATCGCGGCGTGTCAGCTTGATGTGGGAGGAAAGCTCGAAGTGATGCAGATCTTAGACCTTTACAACTTCGGTGAAACCCACGAGCATGGGTATGGTGCTGACAAACCTAGAAACATAACCGGGGCGAACCGGGATTCAAACCCACAATCATAGGTTTCTGGCGTGCCCAAGGGACGTAACTCTGCACAGCAAATCGCGGCGCCTTGAATGAAGATAAAGCTTCAGTCAACCTCAGTGTATGCATGATCAGATCATCGTATACGGATCTAAATACTAAATTTTGTACCTAGCTCTTGAGACCTACAGTAGGTACCCGCGTAGGGTCGGGTAATAGGGTGTCGTGTACGCGGGGAGATACAAGATACCTGCCAGAGTATGTGTTGTTGCCTTTATGTGTGTGTGTTACATTTCAGCCTGGACTTGAAGAGACTGTCCTTGGATATGGTGGACATCCTTCTTACCATCCTCCCCAACGAACAGGAAGTAAGTGGCTGGTCAACAAGTGGTCTTCTGTCTATTGATGCATAAGTATTGTTGGAAACAGCAACTGATTTTTGGCCATCACTTGCGAATATTTAAAGATATACAATGATTAGTAGCATGTATCAAAATAACAACATTGTTACATATTTGACCGAGGGCCTTAGCCATCCAAGCACATATGAAAAAGAGCATTTACATGTAAAAATATTTGAACATGGAAAAATATGACCCAGTGACATGAAATTTGAAACAAGTCATACAGAGTTTGTAGCTAATCCAGCCAGAATAATTTGTATCAAAATGAAAGTAATGAGAACTGGTGAAAAGTAAAAGTGCTTAGTGTTACCAGTCAATGATGACTACCATCATTGGATTGTCCCGAGCACAATATAGTAGTCTTGGGCTAGCAGGCAAGCATGAATTTCAAATGCTGGATGATGTTGTGGCTGATTCTAGTGCTGATGCAATGTTCAAATCAAGTGTTGGGGTTCCTGATGTTTGCTCCTGTTGAATTTGATTGAATCTTGGGACCCACTAAGTTAAGTCTTTTAACAGTAGGTTTGACGAGGACCCCTTGACTTTCATTTCTAACACTGATGTATTTATGAGCAAAATTCAATTCCAGGCCAAGTCATACAAGATGTACGAGCGCGAGAAGAAGCCAGTCGACAACCTCACTGACGAGGATAAATTCATGATGCAGGTTAGTCCTACACCAGCACACCAAGAAGGTGGGCTGAAGTGAGATTTAATTTAGTTAATGATGGTCTCATTACTTCATCATGAAACTTGCAATCTGGTTTGTTAATTGAACTTTGGAAACGGACAGCTGTGAAATGGAACACATCCCTTATATCCTTAATCATCGCAGTTAGATGTGTTCAGCCGGGGATCTTCTTACTGACACAGAACCAAGATGGATTAGCATCAGCAGCAGCATGGTTGCATTGTCTGCATCTACCATGGTTATTTCTTAACATAGCAAGAAAGTAACACCTTGCAGTGTTAGAAACTGGCACTATTCCTGTAGTCCTTGCCAAACTTGACTGTGCTTGTTGTAAAAGGCGACTAACGGGATCGGGTGGTCAGACTCGCTGACTTGGTTGATGCATGTCATTGATCCCAATTGCGTGGATCGATGCTCATGATATTAATCACTGGATTGTCTGGTCCAGACTCAATTATTTACAGACCGCCGTCATAAAGCTGGAATATTGCTGAGTGCGGCGTTCAACAACAAACCAACCAACCCTGCCAAACTGGCCAATAGTTAAGGTATCATAAGGACTAGTAGAAGTTTGCCTTTTTTAAGGGTTTTGCCATATGTTATCATTATGAGGACTAGTGGACTAAAACTGTTAGTTTCTACCGCTGCCTTGGTATCATTGTGATGTATTTACTAATGGAAAATTGTTTAATTAATATTGATATCTGGTGATGTTGATGATTTGCTAACAATTGGGATTCACTTTTCATTAGTGTCACCCGTGACGATCCAGGTTAGAATTGGTCTTCAGCAGCCCTGCTTGTTGTAAGGGACGAGTAATGGGATCGGGTGGACAGGCTCGCTGACTTCATTGGTGCCACCGTATCCCACTTGCATAGATCAATCATGATGTTTATCACTGGATTGTCTGGTCCAGAATTGATTATTTGCAGACTGCCATTATAAAGCTGGGACATTGTTATTTTGTGTCTTGTGTGTTGTCTATGTTAGCTATGTTGTGTATGTAAACAACAAACAGAACTTAAGTGTCATATTGCTTGATAAAGAATATCCTTCTTTTCAGTTGTGCAAGGTAGAACGTCTTGTTCATCGACTGACAATCATGAGTTTTATCGGAAACTTCTACGATAACTTGCATCATCTCCAGCCGGTGAGTATTTCCTGGAATTATGTGCATATTCCTGCCTCGTGTTCTTGTAAAACTCTCTTTTGTACGGATCAACCAACTCAGCCAAAATTAAAGTGCAAAAAGTTAAGGAAGATAATTTTAGTTTAAAGAGGTGTGAGAATCTCTATTGTAAGTAAATAAGCAAAGTAGGAGTTGTATATAATGTGTATCATGTTATTACCCTGTGTTTCCAGCAAGTTAATGCTATCATCGCTGCCTCTATGTCTGTAAGAAGTTCACAGAAAGTGCGGAAACTGATGGAGGTAAGATTTGCTTGGGTTGTGTAGAATGATGCTGACAATGGGAGTCACTGCCATGGGGTACACTGGCAGTAGATTCGATGATGCTCTCACACACACACAATGCGCAGAGGAAGTTCTCATCACCTCATGTTTGTTCTAAGACTCAATCCCTGTGGGGATGCCGGGTTAGAAATGCTCCCAGCAACCTTTGCTGGTCGGAAGAAGGGACTTAATAGATCGGGTGGTCAGGCCTGGTGACTTGGTTGTAAGAAGGGACTTAATAGATCGGGTGGTCAAGCTTGGTGACTTGGTTGTAAGAGGCGACTTAATGGATCGGGTGGTCAGGCTTGGTGACTTGGTTGTAAGAGGCGACTTAATGGATCGGGTGGTCAGGCCCGGTGACTTGGTTGTAAGAGGCCACTTAATGGATCGGGTGGTCAGGCTCGGTGACTTGGTTGTAAGAGGCCACTTAATGGATCGGGTGGTCAGGCTCGGTGACTTGGTTGTAAGAGGCGACTTAATGGATCGGGTGGTCAGGCCCGGTGACTTGGTTGTAAGAGGCCACTTAATGGATCGGTTGGTCAGGCTTGGTGACTTGGTTGTAAGAGGCCACTTAATGGATCGGGTGGTCAGGCTTGGTGACTTGGTTGTAAGAGGCGACTTAATGGATCGGGTGGTCAGGCTCGGTGACTTGGTTGTAAGAGGCCACTTAATGGATCGGGTGGTCAGGCCCGGTGACTTGGTTGTAAGAGGCCACTTAATGGATCGGGTGGTCAGGCTCGGTGACTTGGTTGTAAGAGGCCACTTAATGGATCGGGTGGTCAGGCCCGGTGACTTGGTTGTAAGAGGCCACTTAATGGATCGGTTGGTCAGGCTTGGTGACTTGGTTGTAAGAGGCCACTTAATGGATCGGGTGGTCAGGCTTGGTGACTTGGTTGTAAGAGGCGACTTAATGGATCGGGTGGTCAGGCTCGGTGACTTGGTTGTAAGAGGCCACTTAATGGATCGGGTGGTCAGGCTCGGTGACTTGGTTGTAAGAAGGGACTTAATAGATCGGGTGGTCAGGCCCGGTGACTTGGTTGTAAGAGGCCACTTAATGGATCGGTTGGTCAGGCTTGGTGACTTGGTTGTAAGAGGCCACTTAATGGATCGGGTGGTCAGGCTTGGTGACTTGGTTGTAAGAGGCGACTTAATGGATCGGGTGGTCAGGCTCGGTGACTTGGTTGTAAGAGGCCACTTAATGGATCGGGTGGTCAGGCTCGGTGACTTGGTTGTAAGAAGGGACTTAATATATCGGGTGGTCAGGCCCGGTAGATTGGTGACAGCAGTTGGGCAGTTTGGCTCCTGAGAGTTTCCAGGGCTTTGGTCTTGTCTCACACTGAAGCACATGAGACTCGTGGTATCTCCTTGGGCAAGTGACTTTGTACGAAAATTGCCTCTGTTCACCCAGCAGTGAATGGGTACCCAGAAGGATGAGATGGCAATGTGGTGTCTAACACTATTTCAAGTGCCTGACAGGCAGCATGGGTTGTATACTCCCAAGGGAGCAGAGAATGATTGTTAAGTGCAAACTGATCCATTGACCGGGGTAGTAATAGCGCTTTCAACATGCTCCTGTGTGGTGTGGAAATATGCGCAATATAAATGGCCTATTATTTTTATTATTATTATTATTATTATTATTATTCAGGTGATCCTTGCTTTTGGTAACTACATGAACAGTTCGAAACGTGGAGCAGCCTATGGTTTCAAGTTGCAGAGTCTGGATATGGTGAGTTTTTGTTTTTGCAATCTTTTACATTGGAGAGAATATTCATGAAATATGAGAGAATATATTCTTCTCTGACCAGAAATTCTTAGATCCAGTGTTAGGTCTGTGTAACGCTCCGTTCTGCTATTGCTGTGTTTGTGTTGGCAGCTGGTGGACACCAAGTCCGGGGACAAGAAGGTGACTCTCATGCACTTCCTTGTGATGACAATACAGGAGAAGTTCCCGGATCTCATGAACTTTGACACCGAGCTAAGGTTCATAGACAAGGCAGCCGTAGGTAAGATTGACCTGTAGTTGGCAGCAAGTACCATGGTGAGACTGACATGTAATCCAGGTAAAGCATATCAATGTAGGTAGAGACAAGTTGAGGGTTTGTCTGAGCAGGCCATATCTTTGGTGGGAGAGACAGGTTGAGGGGTTTTTCAAAGGAGAGCATATCCTTTGTGGGAGAGACAGATTGAGGGGTTTGTCTGAGAAAAGCATATCCTTGGTGGGAGAAACAGGTTGGGGGTTTGTCTAAGCAGAGCATATCCTTTAGGGAGAGACAGGTTGGGGGTTTGTCTAAGCAGAGCATATCCTTGGTGGGAGAGACAGGTTGGGGGTTTGTCTAAGCAGAGCATATCCTTGGTGGGAGAGACAGGTTGGGGGTTTGTCTAAGCAGAGCATATCCTTGGTGGGAGAGACAGCTTGAGGGGTTTGTCTGAGAAAAGCATATCCTTGGTGGGAGAATAAGGTTGGGGGTTTGTCTGAGAAAAGCATATCCTTGGTGGGAGAGACAGCTTGAGGGGTTTGTCTGAGAAAAGCATATCCTTGGTGGGAGAATAAGGTTGGGGGTTTGTCTAAGCAGAGCATATCCTTGGTGGGAGAGACAGGTTGGGGGTTTGTCTAAGCAGAGCATATCCTTGGTGGGAGAGACAGGTTGGGGGTTTGTCTAAGCAGAGCATATCCTTGGTGGGAGAGACAGGTTGGGGGTTTGTCTAAGCAGAGCATATCCTTGGTGGGAGAGACAGGTTGGGGGTTTGTCTAAGCAGAGCATATCCTTGGTGGGAGAGACAGCTTGAGGGGTTTGTCTGAGAAAAGCATATCCTTGGTGGGAGAATAAGGTTGGGGGTTTGTCTGAGAAAAGCATATCCTTGGTGGGAGAGACAGCTTGAGGGGTTTGTCTGAGAAAAGCATATCCTTGGTGGGAGAATAAGGTTGGGGGTTTGTCTAAGCAGAGCATATCCTTGGTGGGAGAGACAGGTTGGGGGTTTGTCAAAGCAGAGCATATCCTTGGTCGGAGAGACAGGTTGGGGGTTTGTCTAAGCAGAGCATATCCTTGGTGGGAGAGACAGGTTGGGGGTTAGTCTAAGCAGAGCATATCCTTGGTGGGAGAGACAGGTTGGGGGTTTGTCAAAGCAGAGCATATCCTTGGTGGGAGAAACAGGTTGGGGATTTGTCAAAGCAGAGCATATCCTTGGTGGGATAGACAGGTTGGGGGTTTGTGAAAGCAGAGCATATCCTTGGTGGGAGAGACAGGTTGGGGGTTTGTCTAAGCAGAGCATATCCTTGGTGGGAGAGACAGGTTGGGGGTTTGTCAAAGGAGAGCATATCCTTGGTGGGAGAGACAGGTTGGGGGTTTGTCTAAGCAGAGCATATCCTTGGTGGGAGAGACAGGTTGGGGGTTTGTCAAAGGAGAGCATATCCTTGGTGGGAGAAACAGGTTGGGGGTTTGTCTAAGCAGAACATATCCTTGGTGGGAGAGACAGGTTGGGGTTTTTTCTAAGCAGAGCATATCCTTGGTGGGAGAGACAGGTTGGGGGTTTGTCTAAGCAGAGCATATCCTTGGTGGGAGAGACAGGTTGGAGGTTTGTCTAAGCAGAGCATATCCTTGGTGGGAGAGACAGCTTGAGGGGTTTGTCTGAGAAAAGCATATCCTTGGTGGGAGAGACAGGTTGGGGGTTTGTCTAAGCAGAGCATATCCTTGGTGGGAGAGACAGGTTGGGGGTTTGTCTGAGCAGGCCATATCTTTGGTGGGAGAGACAGGTTGGGGGTTTGTCTAAGCAGAGCATATCCTTGGTGGGAGAGACAGGTTGGGGGTTTGTCAAAGGAGAGCATATCCATTAGGGAGAGACAGGTTGGGGGTTTGTCAAAGGAGAGCATATCCATTAGGGAGAGACAGGTTGGGGGTTTGTCAAAGGAGAGCATATCCTTGGTGGGAGAGACAGGTTGGGGGTTTGAAGCACTGAATATGTTGAAATTCTCACACCTGTAGTTGAAAAGTCTGCAGAGTTTCAGAAAACAAGTGTAATTGTATGTTGTTAGAAATATATGTTTTTCATTTAACAAATATTTGTAATGCATTCACATTCATGGGAAAGAGGATATACATAATATTGAAACATGCATGACACAAATACCAGCCGCCAGTCAACATTTGTGTGGTGGCCTGACACTCCTATGGAGACTTATCCTGTAGAAGTTGGTCTCAACACACCCACTTTATGTTCCTGTTTATTTTTCAGTTTCGATGGAGAACATCACCACAGATATTCATGAACTAGAAAAGGGTTTTGATCTGACAAAGCGTGAAGCTACATTAAGAAAGGAAAAAGACTCGCCAACAATACTCAAAGATTTCCTCTCCAACTCAGAAGATCGCTTTAAGAAATTGTTGGCTGATGTTAAAACTGCACAGGTGAGTTTGTCAGAGTGTCCATGGTGGTTAAATGCACTCAAAGGTAAAGTCTCCTTGTGGTATTGGTGTGATGGTACACAAAGTCAAAAGTAACCATATATAATGGCTGGTGCTATCGGTGCAATAAACTAGGGCTGGGACGGGTAACTCGGGTACTCAGGTTGGGTGGGTTCTGAGTGGGACCCGGGTACCCACAGGACTACCCGGACCCGTGATTAGTCGTGCGATATATTGTTTAAAGACAAGAATTATCTAGAAGTCCATGGTTACACTACAAGTCACTAATGTTCCCGTTTCTTTCTGACGCATTCCACCTGACTTATATGTTTGAATAAAGGTAAAACTTCAGTCAACGTCAGTGTATGCATGACCAGATCTTTTAAAACGTGTATCTAAATACATTTTGCCAGGGCTGTGGTCAAACTATTCCCAATCGGACATTTTGTACATATCTCTTGAGACCTATTGCGGGTACCCGGGTAGGGTCGGGTAATAGGGGGTTGGGTACCCGGGTAGTAAATTTGGACTCGTCCCAGTCCTACAGTAAACCCATCAAGTAAGCTGGGTACGAGGTGATTTCCAAACAGAAGTGCAAAGGCTAACCCGAGTTTGTATTCCCAGAACTAACTTGTGAAAACAGTCAATAAGCAATGAATAATCAACAAACTATATTGAAACAAACATCCATTGACCAGGGTAATAATAGTGCTTTGAACATGCCCCTGTGTGGTGTGGAAATATGCGCAATATAAATGGCCTATCATCATCATCATCATCATCATCATCATCATCATCATCATCATTTGTCTTGTTTCAGGATGCCTACAAACGTGTAGTGGAGTATTTCGGTGAGAGTCCAAGGACTGCTGCCCCATCAACCTTCTTTGCTCAATTTGTCAGATTTGTTAACGCTTTCAAGGTGAGTTCAGTGTTATGTGTCTGCCAATTCTCCTGTGAAAAGTGTTACTATGAATTAAGTGATCAATTTTATGTTGTTCTTGTAGTGAAATTACACATATCCAATATTACACTATCCATATCATTTTGAAAACATACCTGATATAAGAAGAAATTGACAATACCTAGTTCTTGTGATATTTAGAAGTAATCGAAAACTATGATGTTTCTAAGTTTGTCAGCATCATACCCATGCTTGTGGGTTTCACCAAAGTGGTCAGCATCAGAGACCTACACCACTCTTGGCTGTCCTCCCACATCAGGTTGACACGCCGTGATAGAACAGGAAAACTGTTCCCGACAGTATTAAACCCAACTCACTCACTCCTTCTTCTATATCTTCACAGCAAAGTATTTTGGACAATGAGCGGAGGAAGAAGCTGGAGTGTGCGAGTATGATGGAACCCAACACCCCCATGGCCAACAAGAAGAAGGACAAGAAGGCCACCCAGGTACGTAGCCCCACCCTGCAGGGATTGCGTCAACACAAGCGAGATGTGTGTCTAGTGGTGTATAATGAGTGTTAGTTTTAGAAGCTTGTTGGTTGAGTATTTGCGCGACAACTGATCATATATCCATGCATGAAATTACCAATTTCCAGTATAATGGTTTTCAACGGGTGAATGCTATTATATCTGGTGAATGCTGTGATATTATATCTGGAATATTGCTGAGTGCGGCGTTAAACAACAAACAAACAAAGAATGCTGTGATATAACTTGAATACAGTTAAAAGCACCGCGAAACCAAACTCACTCACTCCACTAGGCGTGAAGCAATCTATTGCATGTAATTTAATTTCAAAGAAGATTTGTTTGTTATTTTTTTAAGCTGAAAAACAGAAAGGCTAACCATCATTTGGGCACAGGTGTCCAAGTCGTCGCAATTTGTTGTGCTGTGGTGTGACCCTATGATTATGGGATCAATTCCCGGTTCACCCGATTAAGTTTCTAGGTTTGTCAGCACCAGACCCTTCCTCGTGAACTTAATACTGTTCATTGGTTTCACGCTGTGTTGATGGACGTGATGCATGTAGACAGTTGTTACACAGGTAGTATGTTGAATGTCTGGATATTGCTTCACAGCTGGTCATGAAACGTTGTTAAGAGCATCAGGAGGTCAGGTATGTAGCCATGCTTCTGTCACGAGGACTGGCTGCTGTGTTGAATGCATGGATACGAGATAGTGGGAGCTGGTTGCTGGACGTGCAGGGGCCATAGTAGATGGGCAGAGAGTTGTAGCACACTTGTACTATTTTTAAATTGTAAGACACTTAATCAGATTAGATTACTATTGTGAAAGCTAAATATAATATTTAGGTGTAACACTGAGTAGTATGCGGGGATCACTGGCGACCCTGTCGTCTTAGGTGATGCTATTTTCTGTACCGAATTATGTCCCTTAGTTATGGTAGGATCCGCTGATTATGGGTTTGAATTTATGATTTGCCCTGATTATGATCCTTGGTTTGTAAGCACTGTACCTGTGTCTTGAGGTTTCAAGAAAGAATGTTGGTTACCTGCGTCTCTTCCTCCTGTGTTAAGAAACCATGCAACGATGTGACTGAAACACTGTTCAGAGCTGCTGCCAACTCCCCAACTCACTTTGTAATGTGTAGGAACACTTGAAACTTTTAAAGATAAAAATGGAGGGTATGGATTTAAGAAAGGGTTAAACTGGATATAAATTCTCTTCCTTGACCCTAAGGCTGCTTCTCTTGTGGACTGTGCTGAGGTTGCACAGTAGGATGCATATTTGACATGGCTGCCACGCACGGAGCATGGGAACATGCAGATGTGTTGTAATCAGTGATGATTGAAAGGCTGGAGCTGGCTTTAATGGATTTGTTGAAGCACTTGGACTGCTGTCGACTCTCTGTTGTATCAATGCATGGTGAAATCAGACTGATTTTGTGTAACTGATTGCTTTTGAAAGAAGGGTCACTTTTCACAGCAGAAACATTGAACACTGATTATGTTGGATTTCTTCCCTAAAAGAAATTGATGCAATGTGGCCTATTATATTTGAACTTTTTGAAGGAGCGAGATTCTACCTGGAGCCACAGTTGATGATAGCTTGCATCCCTGTACAAGCACCTTACAGATTTACTGCACAACTTTAAGAATGCCTTATATATTGTATTGAAATTGTGACCTTTTGTTTGTCAGTGTAAAACATAGTTGATCATTGTGGACTCATTGATAGATGCTCATACAATCAACCACTGGTTTGTGTGGTCCAGGCTTCATAATTGACAGACTGTTATATTAAACCAATAACATTGAACACATGGATACATCATCAATATTCACACACCCACTGTAAGAAAGCGATTCCCAAGTATCTGCCCACTGAAAGAGCGTTCCCCAAGTATTCACCCACTGTAAGAGCGTTCCCCAAGTATCCACCCATGGTAAGAGTGTTCCCCAAGTATCCACCCACTGTAAGAGCGTTGCCCAAGTATCCAACCACGGTAAGAGTGTTCCCCAAGTATTCACCCACTGTAAGAGTGTTCCCCAAGTATTCACCCATTGTAAGAGTGTTCCCCAAGTATTCACCCACTGTAAGAGTGTTCCCCAAGTATTCACCTACTGTAAGAGTGTTCCCAAAGTATCAGTCACTGTAAGAGTGTTCCCCAAGTATTCACCCACTGTAAGAGCGTTGCCCAAGTATCCACCCACGGTAAGAGTGTTCCCCAAGTATCCACCCACGGTAAGAGTGTTCCCCAAGTATTCACCCTGTCTAAGAGTGTTCCCCAAGTATTCACCCACTGTAAGAGTGTTCCCAAGTATCCCCCCACTGTAAGAGAGTGTTCCCCAAGTATCCCCCCACTGTAAGAGAGTGTTCCCCAAGTATCCCCCCACTGTAAGAGCGTTCCCCAAGTATCCCCCCACTGTAAGAGAGTGTTCCCCAAGTATCCCCCCACTGTAAGAGAGTGTTCCCCAAGTATCCCCCCACTGTAAGAGCGTTCCCCAAGTATCAGTCACTGTAAGAGTGTTCCCCAAGTATCCACCCACTGTAAGAGAGTGTTCCCAAGTATCAGTCACTGTAAGAGTGTTCCCCAAGTATCCCCCCACTGTAAGAGAGCGTTCCCCAAGTATCAGTCACTGTAAGAGTGTTCCCCAAGTATCAGTCACTGTAAGAGAGTGTTCCCAAGTATCAGTCACTGTAAGAGTGTTCCCCAAGTATCCACCCACTGTAAGAGAGTGTTCCCAAGTATCCCCCCACTGTAAGAGCGTTCCCCAAGTATCAGTCACTGTAAGAGTGTTCCCAAGTATCAGTCACTGTAAGAGTGTTCCCCAAGTATCCCCCCACTGTAAGAGAGTGTTCCCCAAGTATCCCCCCACTGTAAGAGCGTTCCCCAAGTATCAGTCACTGTAAGAGTGTTCCCCAAGTATCCCCCCACTGTAAGAGAGTGTTCCCAAGTATCAGTCACTGTAAGAGTGTTCCCCAAGTATCCCCCACTGTAAGAGAGCATTCCCCAAGTATCAGTCACTGTAAGAGTGTTCCCCAAGTATCCCCCCACTGTAAGAGAGTGTTCCCCAAGTATCAGTCACTGTAAGAGTGTTCCCCAAGTATCCCCCCACTGTAAGAGAGTGTTCCCCAAGTATCAGTCACTGTAAGAGTGTTCCCCAAGTATCCCCCCACTGTAAGAGAGTGTTCCCCAAGTATCAGTCACTGTAAGAGTGTTCCCCAAGTATCCACCCACTGTAAGAGCGTTCCCCAAGTATCAGTCACTGTAAGAGTGTTCCCCAAGTATCCACCCACTGTAAGAGAGTGTTCCCAAGTATCAGTCACTGTAAGAGTGTTCCCCAAGTATCCCCCCACTGTAAGATGCGTTCCCCAAGTATCAGTCACTGTAAGAGTGTTCCCCAAGTATCCCCCCACTGTAAGAGAGTGTTCTCCAAGTATCAGTCACTGTAAGAGTGTTCCCTAAGTATCCCCCCACTGTAAGAGAGTGTTCCCAAGTATCAGTCACTGTAAGAGTGTTCCCCAAGTATCCCCCCACTGTAAGAGAGCGTTCCCCAAGTATCAGTCACTGTAAGAGTGTTCCCCAAGTATCAGTCACTGTAAGAGTGTTCCCCAAGTATCCCCCCACTGTAAGAGAGTGTTCCCCAAGTATCCCCCCACTGTAAGAGAGCGTTCCCCAAGTATCAGTCACTGTAAGAGTGTTCCCCAAGTATCAGTCACTGTAAGAGTGTTCCCCAAGTATCCCCCCACTGTAAGAGAGCGTTCCCCAAGTATCAGTCACTGTAAGAGTGTTCCCCAAGTATCCCCCCACGGTAAGAGAGTGTTCCCCAAGTATCAGTCACTGTAAGAGTGTTCCCCAAGTATCCACCCACTGTAAGAGAGTGTTCCCAAGTATCAGTCACTGTAAGAGTGTTCCCCAAGTATCCCCCCACTGTAAGAGAGCGTTCCCCAAGTATCAGTCACTGTAAGCGTGTTCCCCAAGTATCCACCCACTGTAAGAGAGCGTTCCCAAGTATCAGTCACTGTAAGAGTGTTCCCCAAGTATCCCCCCACTGTAAGAGAGTGTTCCCCAAGTATCAGTCACTGTAAGAGTGTTCTTCAAGTATCCCCCCACTGTAAGAGCGTTCCCCAAGTATCAGTCACTGTAAGAGCGTTCCTCAAGTATCCCCCCACTGTAAGAGAGTGTTCCCCAAGTATCAGTCACTGTAAGAGTGTTCCTCAAGTATCCCCCCACTGTAAGAGCGTTCCCCAAGTATCAGTCACTGTAAGAGTGTTCCCCAAGTATCCACCCACTGTAAGAGAGTGTTCCCCAAGTATCAGTCACTGTAAGAGTGTTCCCCAAGTATCCACCCACTGTAAGAGAGCGTTCCCCAAGTATCAGTCACTGTAAGAGTGTTCCCCAAGTATCCCCCCACTGTAAGAGAGCGTTCCCCAAGTATCAGTCACTGTAAGAGTGTTCCCCAAGTATCCCCCCACTGTATGAGCGTGTTCCCCAAGTATCAGTCACTGTAAGAGTGTTCCCCAAGTATCAGTCACTGTAAGAGAGTGTTCCCCAAGTATCAGTCACTGTAAGAGTGATCCCCAAGTATCCCCCCACTGTAAGAGAGTGTTCCCAAGTATCCACCCACTGTAAGAGAGTGTTCCCAAGTATCCACCCACTGTAAGAGAGTGTTCCCCAAGTATCAGTCACTGTAAGAGTGTTCCCCAAGTATCCACCCACTGTAAGAGAGTGTTCCCAAGTATCCACCCACTGTAAGAGAGTGTTCCCCAAGTATCAGTCACTGTAAGAGTGTTCCCCAAGTATCCCCCCACTGTAAGAGCGTGTTCCCCAAGTATCAGTCACTGTAATAAGTGTTCCCCAAGTATCAGTCACTGTAAGAGTGTTCCCCAAGTATCAGTCACTGTAAGAGAGTGTTCCCAAGTATCAGTCACTGTAAGAGTGTTCCCCAAGTATCCCCCCACTGTAAGAGAGTGTTCCCAAGTATCCACCCACTGTAAGAGAGTGTTCCCAAGTATCCACCCACTGTAAGAGAGTGTTCCCCAAGTATCAGTCACTGTAAGAGTGTTCCCCAAGTATCCATCCACTGTAAGTGCGCGTTCCCCAAGTATCAGTCACTGTAAAAGATTGTTCCCAAAGTATCAGTCACTGTAAGGGAGTGTTCCCCAAGTAATTACTTACTGCAAAAGATTGTTCCCCAAGTTTGAGCAGTAATAATAGCTGTTTCTGGTTTGCAGGCTGAGATGGTGTCCGAACTGAAGAGCAGGAACAGGAACATTCGGGAGAAGAAGCTCCTGAACAAGGACGAGGTGTACCACGGGGCCCTGGAGGACATCCTGCTGGGTAGGAGGAGCATCCTGTGTTCACATTCCTTGTAGATTACTATCTTCACCGTATTCCTTATAACAATTGTATGCTAGGTTATACCTAAGTTCAGTAACTGCTTCTGAGGAACAAAGATCCTTCTGGATCACCTGACACTATTCACTTGAGGTTTCATAAAAGCATGGCATATATTCCAGCTATGTTGATAAGGGCTATTTACAAACCTCTATGCAAGTAGCCTTTGAGAAAGTATTTACAAATTTTTGATCATTTTCCAGATTTGAAAAACGAGCCCTATCGAAGAGCTGATGCCGTGAGACGAAGTCAGAGAAGGCGCGTGGAGAATATCATGCAGGTCCCTACAGGAAGGAGCGAGATATTTTAAACTTTTATGACTATGAGATAGTTGTCACACCAGGGTTGTCCCCCTTGTCGGAAATCACCATCTCGTGTTGAAAACATCAGGTGACCAGAGGGAGATCAGAGATTTTAAACAGTTCAATATGTCTTTTATCCGAGTTGGACATTAAATGAATTGTCGGCTTGGGTTATCTTCCCATAATGTGTATGGAACACTTCCAGGATAGCCAGGTACTTTTAAGAGATCATGGAGGTTCTAGGCTGCAGAATTTACAGTGTGTGTGTGTGATCTCCAGAGTGAGTGTAGATGCTGGTAGAGATCGACAGACCACGGAGAAAGTAGACTGACCTGCTCTGTGGATCACGGGAAGACACAAGACAAGGGTTTTGTGTTCCCATGGTTGGTGGTACAGAAGAGGATTGGATGCAGAGGATGTGTCAAGGGGAGATAATCCATGCAGTCTTTCTAACGGAGATGTTGCGAGCAGGCGGCGGCTTGCTCATGTTTGTTGTTATGTGTGTAAGTAACTGAAGCCATTGACTGCATAATGCTATTGCTAGTTTCCCTGTTACATAAAACACTGGCGGATGGAGAGAGATTAAAGAGATGGAGAAATCACTTGATATTCAGGATCGCTCTAGATGAGCCAGTGGCGGATATATATCCAGTCTGCCTTTAGTCCTGTGCTACAAAATGTGTATTCGTTGTTGTTCAACATGAAACTGTTACACCAATGGTCAGGGAGGAAATTATCACTAGCCCGCTAGGCTTTTGTTGAAGCTGGGCTAAGGACTAGTAGAATTTCAAACATTTTGGAAGATATTGCTACATAGGTCGCTATTCGGGCTAGTAGGTGTTCTTTGTTAATTTCCATCCCAGATGGTCATGGTCTATGCTGTCTGAATACTGAACAGTGGCGAAAAGTACACAGAAAATAACAAGATTCCATACCAAGTCTACAGGCCATCTGCAATTTCGATCTAATCTCCTATCACCTGTTTATCACTTCTAACCCTCCTGCACAGTTTTGGGATTCTTCGTTGAAGGTAGTTGATGTTTGGTCCTGACTTGTTTTTGAATGTAACAGTTTGCCATGTCCTTCATGTGATATTCATCTTCATTTGCTTAAACTGTCTTCCAACCAAATGTGTGTATTACTGAGAAATTGAAGTGGTTCTTCTTGTGTATTGGGCTCAATTGACAGAGGCGTGAGTTAATGTCTCCTATCTGTACGCATCGCTGTATAGTCTGAATTAGTGTTGAACAAGAATAATTGAAAGTGACAATCAAAATATTGTTGATGCTTCTGAATAAGATATTCAGGATGGCAAATATCTTCGAACAGGTAATATCCAGAAGTGATGCATGTAGTTATTGGATTGCTCAAAATATGGATAAATATCAGGTAGTGTGTCACGTTGCCATGGTGTAGTCCTGGTTTGATTCCAACATAAGCCGAATGATCCAACCTTCATACCAATTCACATGACATTTCCGCACACATTTGCAGCAACGTAGTGGGCCGTGTTGTGTCTGGATGTCAACTCATAAGCCCCATGTCTCACAGCGTATGGTGGAGGACCATGTTCCATAAAGCAATCCGGCGCTACGACAATCTAACTCCCATTCATTAACATGGACTTACAAAGGACGTAGCGCTACGACAATCTAACTCCCATTCATTAACATGGACTTATAACAGATGTAGCGCTACGACAATCTAACTCCCATTCATTAACATGGACTTATAACAGCCGGAAGGCTATGATCGTTGAGTGGAATGACGCCCTTGGCCCAGTTTCACAAAGCAATTGTAACACTGCCACTATTGTAACTCTTCACAAACTTCAAACAGTTGTAGTGCTTTGATCGCTGTGTGAAACGGGGTCCTGATTGTCAGTTCACCTCCAAACACCAGCAGATATTCCTAGATCATTCCCAATTACATTTGTGATTCACTTTTGAATTACTTTTGAATTACTTTTGAATTTTGAAGCAATGTTACGACTCTGCACTTTACGAAAGCCTCACCTCTGTCGATTGGTTGCCTTGTGGTGTCCCCATCATGTGACCTCATTTACATACTACCCAGCGGGCATGTCTCTATGCCACAAAGTGCAATTTTCCGTGTCAAGTTTTTTTTTCCGATTCATTTATGTGTTTATTATGCATGATCATTGTATTGCCATCGTTAGATATAAATGGTAATAGTTTAGTTCCTATATGCTTATATAATGGAACAGTATCTTGACTACACAGAAGATCAGAAGGCTGCATGTTGGTAAATATCCATGATTAGGGCTGGAAGTCACATGAATGTAGCTATAACCATGGATAAATATTTTTCATATTCATCAGTATCCATATCAAACAATGGGAGTTTATTGTATTGCCCGACAATGGATATATGCTACTCAACATCTTAAGGGCCACCAGTCATCTTTCATCAAAGGTGTGGGGTCCTTAGCAAGTGTTGAGTGGTGTAGGACAATTTCAACCAATTCGTGTCCATATTGAGGGCTGATGGACAACTTAACATAGCCCCTACCATGGATACTCATCAATTTTGGTCTTGTATAAGTGTAGGAGCATATGGTATGTGAGACATGAGTGCTGCTGTGTTCACCATATATACTCAACAGTCGATATGTTCTCTAGTGCTTGAAAATCCATGCATATTTGTCAAGAAGGTGAGAATCAGGAAAATACTAGAAAGAGCTTTAAGACTGGATGGAATTATGCTGACTCAATATTAATGGCAGAATTGAAAAAAGATATTATTTATTAGGTACTTATATTAATAATAACATAATGCGATGTATTTTTGTTGAAAAGAAATGAAAACATTGAAATGAATAATGGATTGTTAGTGATTGAATTTATAGGATACAAGGCTGTTCCTGACAGTTTACCCATTGTTGTATGGTGTCGCATTTAATTTCTACAAAAAATTTAGAATAATGACAAATCCAGTTTCTGTTCTTTCTTTATATTATTTTGTCATCAGGATTCACCTGTTTTGTTAATCTATAAAAAAGAAGTTTCTCTGATTCTGCCTTCTAGCGTCATGGTCTCCACAATGTGATAAACACAAGCAACAAGTTCATAAACTTGCTTTTTTTTCCTATGTGTAGCTATTTATGTTTTATTTTTTATAGCTTTTATTTGTGTATTTTACGAAGCAAGTCGCCACCCAAACCTCTCGTATTCCCCACTCTGTATACAATGTATTTTATAAATATGTACATAGACGTCTAGATTTACCGATTTATTGTACATTTGTATGTATTCACGACATTTCACCGATAGAAAAAGTAGACGTTTCATAATCCAGGACTGTTGATGTAGTGTGCGTGTCGCTGGCTTTAAAAACTTGCTGTCGTAGTTTCCATGGTAACCGCTCGACCATTTCACCTCCATAGTCATCAATCATGGAATACGATTTTGTAATGTGCAATGTAATGTATCTGTCGTCTATTTCCATCAATCATGTCACTGTGATGCAAGGGCTAGGTTGGTATATATACGCAAGAAATCAATCACATGTTATACACACAAGACATGCATTTATCCCTTCACAAACACACATAGTTTTGTAGTGTATTATGTGGTTCTGAAAAACTTATGAAGTAAATGAATTGGCATTTGGTGTTTTAATTAAATGTCATAGGTAAGTGATTATGGAGAGAACAGCATGGTTAAAACATACACAGAAATTCAAAGAATCATTTGCTGATGAACTTCTTTGTTTACCGTATTTGACTTAATAAGCCCCCTGCTCTAATAAGCGCCCACGGCGATATTTGTTAATGTATTGGCTAGTGAAAATCCCAATTAGCACCCCTTCCGATTAATCAATGAACACAAGACTTATTTTTTCGCGTATACGAGTTTAACGCACTCATGTGTTACATGCACCCTTAATTATGGGCAATTACATTCTGGAAAAATATATCTGTCGTATATAAACATTTCAGGCTGTCGGCATAAACCACGAAATTTGTCTTTCAACCAAAATAATATTCTAATAAGAGCCCCCTATTTTGAGAGCCACCTGGGCACTTCTTACGTCGAATAGGGTAAATGTCTAGATTATTTCCATTTGTGATGATAAAGGGTTAATATTGATTGATTGGTTACACTCAGTGCTGTGACTGATAGTAGGTCCCATCATAGATTGTGGCGAAAAGGGTTACACCTCCCATTGTTACTGTTACGCTATTCAATAGATCAATACATCATTATGCAAGAACGCATTATCATCATCATGAAAAACCAGACAGTTTGATTTGTGGAATTTGTGATGAAGACTAATGATAGAAACATACTTTTTGTTTTTGGAAAAGACGTAATATTTGTAGTCTCTTACAAGCAATGACTGAACCTTTGGCACAAACTAACATTTATCAGTGCTAGGTAAGAAATCCCAATTAATTCCCAACATGAATTTCGACACAGCTTGTGTTTGTTCTTGTTGCATGTAAAAACGAAATTATTTCAATTTTAATAGGTCATTGACAAGATTGGCCTGAAAGGCTAATAGATTTGTTGCATTGAATTACATGTGATCATTGCCGAAAGTTTTAATTTCGCAAATGAAAACACTGCGTCAAACGCATTACTTGGGGACCATCTCAAAACCAGTTTATTCCTGATGCATGATAGACTTTTTATAGCTCAGGCGAAGATAGTGCTCAATACTACACGTCACCTCTCATGGATCATTGTTTCAGTTCAATATATTCTTGTTTTTCTCTGGATATGTAAACATGTACATATGTAGATCTCTGCAACTGGGTTAAAATCATTGTAACACGTAATGCATTTCCTTGAAGGTAAGTGTTGTATTTACTTGCCATGTGATAGACACGTATATAGACAAATATATCCTAGTCTCAACGGTCACTTGTGTCCTCACAAAAAGTGATATAGGGCACATGTTGGTTTTCATAGTATTGGTGCTGATTTTCTGTCACATGCATGCAGACACACACACAAGACACCAGCATGCAGACACACACACGGAGACACATGCATGCAGACACTCACACGGAGACACATGCATGCAGACACACACGGAGACACATGCATGCAGACACACACGGAGACATTCATGCAGACACACACAGAGACATGCATGCAGACACACACGGAGACATGCATGCAGCCACACACACTGAGACACATGCATGCAGACACACACGGAGACACATGCATGCAGACACACACGGAGACACATGCATGCAGACACACACGGAGACACATGCACACACACCTAGTATTGCAACAATGTATAGAAACATTTGTCTGGTTTACAAGTCAGGCCTTATCTTTTATTAGTTGGTTTACCATTTCCATTTATTTACTAATTTGGAATCAATAAACAAAACCATGATTTGACAAACTAGTTGATTTTTCAAATAGTTCGGGGTGAATACAACATCAAACTGCTGACAAACTCAAAGTCCTAAAGTAAATACTTGTATGATTTTCATTCAACTGTAGGTTTATTTAGAAATTGACATTTTAGAAGTAAAATTTGGCCACCTAAATTGCATTTTGGGCCAAACATGTTGGAAATCAAATGATTAAAACTTAGGCCGTACATACGTGACCGAAGTTGCCGACATCTCTTTGCTCAGTGTCCTACTTTGAACTATGGAGATGAAGTGGTGGTCTGCTTCTAACTATTTATTCCGTGTCTTGGGTCTGCATGTCACGGTAAGCAGTGTTTAAAGGCACATTGTTTCACGTTACCTGTCACTTCTGCAACTTCCTAGTCTAAGGAGGTTATTAAAGGGAAACAGTCGACCGAATGAAAGAAATATAAAGTTTTTAAGAGAACCAATTAGACTTTTTTGGGTTTTCAGATTTCTGGGTGGAAATGTTTGCTTTTCAGATGGAAAAAAATAAACTAAGATGTTTGAAATTACTGTTATTTTTCTTCTTTATATAGTAACGTGAATATGTGGCCATGTGTGCATTGTTGGTTAGGCTTTTCTTGTTAGCTTAACAGTTTAAGCTACCACGTGCACACTGTTTTGTGTGGGCAAGACACAAGTTATTATTTACAAGATTTATTATTGTCGACATTTTCCAACAGAATCTGTAAACCGATTGCAAACAAGCCTCGCCTATTAATATATGGAAATTTTCTTAAGTAGAAGTCCATCAATGAAATGACAATGTGCCTTTAACATTGGTGTACATTTAGGGTGGACAATATTATTTCCTTATCAGTTGTATTTACGGACTTTGTCCGGACACATGTTTTGTCGGTCTATATTCTCACTGATGGCTCCTCTTTGCTTGTGTGAGGGGCAGGTTTGCAAAGGGCAAGTCCGACTCTACTGTATGATACTTAAGCACTGCCAAAACAAGAGTATTTCTTTTTGAGACTGTTATTATATATATAGTAGGCTAAATGATGAACATTTCGCGAAGCACATCTACAGGAAGTAATGCCTTGATGTAGTTGCAAGTAGGGATGCTAGTTTTGTAACCTTTTTGTGATCAAATATTAAAAGAAATATTTTGAACTGAGTTGATGACTAAGTCTTCCATATCTGACAATTGTCTCTAATATTCATGAAGATAATATTTCATTTCTGTCTTAAAGGTTGGAAACACTAGCTTGAATTTTGCCTTCTCAGTGATCCAATTCTTGGGGTACATGCTTTAAGCAGGGGATAGTGAAGCAGCTTGGGAACACCCTGGATGCCAAGGTTTTTTGTGACAAAATTTTTAAGTGCTTTGAAAGAGCATGCTGTGCAGCAATTGTGGTCTTTTGTGCCCTAGTGAAAAGTAAGGTTTCTTTTCCCTGGTTTAGAATATACATAGGCTGCTTCCGTTGTCGTTCAGTGTATTTTTACTTTACCTGATATGAATTGAAATCATATCATAAAAATATAAATACCCTGGATCCAATCGTAAATAGTGCTTCCGTTGGGAAGTGATCTGAACATTTCTCACAGACCATTCAAAGAAATCCAAACTTGTCCAGTTTATCTGTGTGATGAATACTGAGTTGTATTCAGCCACCGAGTGAGTGGTGGGGGCTGGCATCCGGGGGGTTCACTGGCAAGGTTTTAGGATGGCTCTTGAAAGAAATGACCTTTTCGTTAATTCCAAGCCACATGTTCTGTCCAGGAAATTCCCTTTTTTGAAACCATAGATTTTGCAAGCATTGCTTCAACCATCTGATTGATAGACTCGGTTTAAGGACATCAATCTGCAGCTTTATCACAATGCTAGTGAGTTAGTGATCTCAAAATTCAGACTTCAACGGGTGAAGGTTGTTGAATTTTTTCACACATAACATGATGCTTGTTACTTGGAAAGGGGTCATGTGAAGATGAAATTAATCAAGTAAAGACGTTCTTAGTATGTCATTAAGATAGATATTCCACATACCTGAAACCCTTGATGCATCCTAAAGGAAGGGGCAAGTTAATTAGGCCTCCATCGCAATTTGTCTGAAACGAGACTAAGAAGTGATAGACATTAACAGGGGTCCTGGGTCTTAAAGGCCCTTAGCCGAAGCAAAGTAATCAGTCTGTGGACCCCAAGAATCTGATTCAACGGAACACTGAGATCTGTATAGGGTTATCCTTAATGTCTATTGCCGCTGAGTCGGGTGAGCTTTAGAACTCACAGAATGAGACCGAGTCTTGCTTCAGTTGCTGTTCAACTGCTGAGTGTTTGTATTTATCGAAGGAGGAAGGGATCAGACATTATTTTATTCTACCAAAATATGAGAATTTTTTAATCGTTGGCACATTAATCAATTAATTTCAAGCTACAAATTACTGATCTTCAAATTGCATCAGTTCAAAGGTCCAGGGCGCTGTTCCACAAAGCGATTGTAGCACTAAGACGATGGTAACCCTCATACTTTGACATTGACTTAAGAGGATCATAGCGCTAAGATCACTTTGTGGAAAGGGCCCTGGGTATATGATGCACGTGAACGTCCCAGGACGTCCTGACTGCCGCGATTTGTCTAATCCCCTCCTCCCTGTGCTGATTGTAAAGATATTTGGATAGCTGATGCTTGCTTGACTTTGCCTTTGCTTCCTGTGACACTAGGCTGTAGTAGGTAGCCGTTGAGACTGTAAAAGAGCAGCTAGAAGGACTCATGTTGTTGTGTTGTCAGAGGATGCAAAGTTTTATGTGGATTTTTTATATATCTTATTGGTCAAGACCTTTGTCACTGTTTTTCCCCCATTTTGTTGTTTTCTAGCTGACCACACTCAGAGTGCTTGTTACCAGGGAAAATGTTCAGACCTTCTGCCACATTATCAGTGCTGAGTTTGCAACTTTAGCCACTTGTCCGAAGTCAGAGTCCAGGAAACTTCTGTTTCAGGGATTTATCTAGAACTTCAAAGTTAGTGCCCTTGGCAAATAAAATTGGAACAAAATCATGATGTTCATCTAAACTTGATTAGTTTTATGTTTTTTTCCCACGGTAAATTCAGAGAAACTGGGAAATTTTCAATTCAAATTGGGAATTTTTACTATCATTTGTCACAGACCTGGTGCTGAATTCTCTGAGTAGGACCAGGTAAATCCCTGTGTTTGGTCTAGTAAGCTCAGCTAATAATAGTCCATATGATAACTGTAAACTCTACTGAAAATGATGCTTGGAGCCTTGTTCGGGACAGATGACTCAAACCTTTTTGGCACAGACAAGGGTTGTGTTGATTTTAGAAAGCATAACTCTGCAAGCCTAGGGGTGATGTTACATAAATTTGGAGTTTGAGGAGCCTTTTGGGGCTCACTTTGAAGTGATTTTGTAAGAAACTGTTTCCAGGTTAACAGGAAAAATATTTTTGATTGTAGGGCTGGCACATTTTCCCTGTGACTAGACACGGCTAGTGATTCACATTGTTACTTTGTAGTCTGTGGTTGTTGTTGCCAGGGTTCTGTTATGTGTGGAAAAGTCAAGTTTGAGTTGAAATCTTTGATTCTTTTTACACATGTAAATTGACTGTAATTATACGTGCTTTGGTTATTTTATTCAATTAGATTCATGTGATTGTTATTTGAATTGATGAACTTTATGAATGCTGTTTTATGCTAGGCTGTACAGAGACTTGTGAGCAGATATACTTTGGAGCAGTGGCCTCTATAATATCAGTGAGATTGTGAAATCCCATCTTACTGTGGCTTCAAAACTACATACATTCTTTTAAGATATTTCTACAACCAGATTCCAGCATGAAATTCTTCACATTTTTAGGAAGATGTATTGTGTGACATTGCGTGTTACAATGCTTATAGAAACAGAATTCTTTCCATCTTTGTTTGGTGACTTGCTCTTTTTCATTGACAATCCAGACAATAGGAAAAAGAACAGAAATTATTTGCAGAAACATTACTGTACATTACCTGACATCTTTGCTTCAAATACTGGTGTACGATGGAGGGAAATATTGTACCATGCACGGACATCGCATGTCATGCTATACAGATGGAAAATAAGAAGAATAGCCAGGGATGCACATGTTTTTAAAAATTTCAAGTCACTTGTTATAGCTGCCAACTGTCCTGAATTTTCATATTTGTTACGAATTTGCAGCCAAGACACGAAAAATATTTCTTCCTTAATTCATGCGAATCGTATGCCAACCTTCCGAAAAATATCACCAGGACTAAATTGTCCTAGATCCCTGGAAAGATTGGTTTGGTTGGTTTGTTGTTTAACGCCGCACTCTGCTATATTCCAGCTATATGATGGCGGTCTGTAAATAATCGAGTCTGGACCAGACAATCCAGTGATTGATATCATGAGCATCGATCCACGCAATTGGAATCGATGACATGCATCAACCAAGTCAGCGAGCCTGACCACCCGATCCCGTAAGTCGCCTTTTACGACCAGCATAGTCACCTTTTACGGCAAGCATGGGTTGCTGAAGACCTTTTTACCCCGGAATCTTCACGGGTCTCCCTGGAAAGAGAATGTCATTATTTAGCCTTAGCCTTACATTGTGGGAATGGTGGGGTAGCCTTGTGGTTCAAGCATTTGCTCGTCACGCCAAAGAGTTGGGTTCGATTCGTTACACTGGTACAATGTGTGAAACCCATTTCTGGTGTTCCCTGCTGTGTCATTGCTGGAATGCTGGAATACTGCTAAATGTGGCATAAACCACAGTCAGATACTGACTTTACACGTGTTGCATGTGTTCAAATGAGACACTCCGATAGTGTCATTAGAAGTGCTGTAGTCTTGCATAATTGCAGTGCTTTGGTGTCCCGACAAATCAATTGTAATTTAATAGGAAAGTTGGCAGTTGTCACAGTGACTTATTTCCATAAAGGGTGGTGGGGTAGCCTTGAGGTTAAGGTGGTTGCTTCATGCTGAAGACACGGTTTTGATTTCCACACGATTTTGCTTGAAGTAACGTAAAACCCTACCCAATCACTATTTTGACGACAGGAAGCACAAAACACAGGACACGTGACTTCCTGTTCCCTTTTCTGTTTCCATCAGTATATCAGAGACATAACTGGATCTGTCATTTTTACAATACATACTGCAGGATTGTAAGGTTTTCTGTTATGAAAGGATTTTCAGGATCAGTCATTGCATGACTGCATACACTGCATTGTCAGAAATAATTGTTATGACAATATGAAATAATCTATGTGGGTCAAAATGATCCGTCATATTGTACAATGTATACATTATAGCTCATCAACTCTGGACTGGATTTTAACAGCCACATGTGCCATTGAAATCATTAATAAATACTTAAACATTATAAATCATGGTGTTGTATTGTTGTTTTTGGGTTTCTAGTTTCATCAGTTTGAATATTGCTGAGTGTGGTATTAAACAAACTATATTACAGCATCTGTAAATAATAGCGTGTGGACCAGACCGTCAAAATATTTATATTACTAATATAATAATATGTCCATTAATAATGTGGCAGATCCAGTTCACGTAGTTAATGCTCATGGTGCTACACACCTTGTAGCAGCTAAAGCTACAGCAAGGGCCAAGTCGGGGCTGGGAGTGAGGGGTGTTAGACTGAATAGTGCTGCTTGAAAAGGTAGGTTTTCAGATGTGCCTTGGGAGTGATGGTTCTGTTGGTAGATTGTTCCAAGGTGTTGTAACACAGTATTTGAAAGATCCATGATCAAAAGTCTTCAAGCAGGTTTCTGGAAATTCTCTTTCAGAACAGAGCTATTGAGATGGTTTATGTTTAGGCTAAAAGTTCATCAGTGGGGCTGATTCCCTGAAGCATGTGTAGGTTGATGTCAATAGTATAAAATCGGTTTTAGCTTTGAGAGGCAACTAATGCAGGGACATCATAGCAGGAGTTATGGGTGTCTATTTTGAGGTTCTCATTGCAATACTTGCAGCTGTGTGTTGTATGTTCTGAAGCCTATAGAGTGATACAGGGATTGACATGAACGTAAAGTTTTTATCAGTGGTTCAACCGGTAGTTAAAGTGTTCACTCATCCCGCCAAAGGCCTGGGTTTCGTTCCCTACATGGGTACAATGTGTGAAGCCCATTCCTGGTGTCCCCCAACAACGGTTGGGTCTCCCTGCTGGAGACATGGGTTTGAAGCCTGTTTCTGGTGTTCCTTCACCTGATGTTATATTAGACCCATGAAGATTCTGGGGTAGAATAGGTCTTCAGCAACCCATGCTTGCCGTAAAAGGTGACTATGCTTGTCGTAAAAGGCAACTAACGGGATCGGGTGGTCAGGCTGGCTGACTTGGTTGATACATGTCATCGATCCCAATTGCGTGGATCGATGCTCATGATATTAATCACTGGATTGTCTGGTCCAGACTCGATTATTTACAGACCGCCGTCATATAGCTGGAATATTGCTGAGCGCGGCGTAAAACAACAAACCAACCAACCAAAGCTGTTATATTGCTGGAATATTGTGGAAATCATCATTAAACAAGACTACAGGGACTCATCAGCATAGAGAGGTACAGTGAAGGCACTGTTTGAAAGCTACATTGGTTACCAGGACCATAGCTTGTGAGAGGGTTGTGTGTTACCAACAAACACCTATTCATTGGGTTTTTTTGCGTTCGTAAATATGTGATGTATAATATATGTGACAGTAAACACAGTGCCACAGTACTAGAGATCACCGGGATATGTTGTCAGTTCAAATTGTGAATATTCTTTCTCTACCCTCACTTACTAAAGCTTGGGACAAGTATAATATTCCACTCAGGATATAAACTTGAAATAAAATGGGAAGCTCGTTTAGTATCCTGTAAGTATGTTAGGTGAGGTGAGGTGAAACTGGGTTTAACGTCGCGTCCAAGATTATTGCACTTATATTGCGACGTGCATGTAGGTGTTTGTGTTTGTGTGGCTGCTTGTACTAGTCCGGACTGATGCCGATTTATAGTGCTAGCTCACTGAGATACCATGCCGCGGTTTAACATGAATACCCCACTCAGACCCTGTGTTCTGACTCCGAGCCGACCAGTCCTTGTTTTAGCCCCTTAATGCCGAGCGCCAGATAGGGTAACAACAAGTACAATCTTTTAACGTCTTTTGGTATGACGCGGCTGGGGATCGAACCCGGACCTTCCACTCTCCGGGCGGACGCTCTACCATTAGACCATGGAGGCGGTCTGTAAGTATGTTCAGGTTGATCATGGAAGATGAACATCATTATCAAACCTGTGTAGTATACAGTGTATTAATATACCGTATTCGACGTAATAAGCGCCCAGGGTGCTCTCAAAATTAGAAATAGGGGGCTCTTATTAGAATATTATTTTGGTGGAAAAAAAACAGAGTTGAAAGATAAATTTCGTGCCTGAAATGTTCATATACGAGAGGTACATTTTTCCAGATTTTAATTGCCCATAATTAAGGATGCATATAACACACGAGTACGTATTATACGCGAATAAATAAGTGTTGTGTACATTGATCAATCGGAAGGGGTGCTAACTGATATTGTTCACTAGCCAGTATATTAGTAAATATCGCCGTGGGCGCTTATTAGAGCGGGGCGCTTATTACGTCGAATACGGTACTTAATGTGCACCCTATCTTGGTTTTCCTCAGTTGTCAAAGTATAAATGATGCTAAAATATTGCTGATGTAATGTGACCGCTGCCGGTGTCTAGTGGAAAGAGCATCTGCCCGGAGATGGGGGTTCGATCCTTGACCGCATCATACGAAAAGATGTTAAGAGACCTTGCTACCCTGACTGGAGCTCAGCTAAAACAAGGACGGGTCGGCCTGGAGTCTGTATACTGAGTCTGAGTGGGGTATCCATTTGAACCTGTGGCATGGTATCTTAGTGAGCTAGCACTAGAAGACCGGCCCAGGTCAGGACTAGTACAAGCACACAGACACACAGAAACAGACACACACACACGAAAGTCGTATATATATGCAATCATCTTGAACGAGACATTAAACCAATTTCTCCTCATCTGATGTAATGTAAAATATAGATAATTTGATCACTAAAAGTAATGTTGAAAACAACTTTATTACAGTGTAGAGATGTACATTCATTCATAAAGATATATAAAGTATGTGCTCAACATTTTCGGCATGATAAAACGGTATGCACTTCTTAGCTGCAGGTGTAGAGCAGCCGGCTGCATGCAACCCTTGAAACATTTTGAGAATTCCCTCTACAAATTATTTAAATTATCCCATCCCTCTTAACCAAGGTGTGTGTGTGAAAATACTGTCTCTCACATGAGGAGACACTGGTCCTCTGAAGTATGAACAAATGATAATTTGGCAAACCCTCAAAAAAGAGGGTGCCAATCTTTACCAACTGTCCCCTTTACCCTTTCTGGAATCTGAACTCCCAATGTTCTGTGTACAAGTTAATAATGTCCGTGTAATTGTGACAGAACTAAACTAATCAAAAACTGAACATAAAAAAAAAAAATAATTGGTATAAAATGTAAATCATGGTAATCCTCATCCAGTGCATCTCCAACAATGTCTGAATATATTGTCATTCATACATATTCTTCAGTCTCTAAACATATCCAACTCACCATACATACATTTGCCAGCACACAAATAACACATGTTCTCAACCATGATACCTCATATTCGAGGGGTTCTATTTAATTGAATAATAATTCATAAACAACTGGAAAGCTGTTGGCACAACATAACAGAATAGAAGCAGCCACATCCCCACCTTCTCCTGACTGCCTTGAAGCTGTGCCTCTAGCTACCTTAATAACATGTGTAAGGCCTAAAAAAATAATAGTCTTGGTTCTCAGGCACTGCCCGCATCATCATGAAGTTTGCCACACATTTCATTTTTACTTCCATTTGAATTTTTTTTTTAAAAATCCTTAAATATTCCAATGGTAGTCAAATACAGTATTTCAGTATTTTATTCATCAAGGAATACATTTATGCAGGGAGGCCCTTTCCCTGGTTGATTGTACACAACTGTTTATTTGGTTACATACCAGTTTGAACATACCCCCCCAAAAAATAACAAAACACCGCCACTATATTTTCGAAAACCATTGACTGAGAACCAATTCCTTTAATTTTTTTTAGCCTAAACATCACTTTCTGTTTGGGAAAACATGATTACGAACTAGGGCTGGGACAGGTAATTCAGGTACTCAGATCGGGTGGGTAGTACTTGGTACGAAGTAGGACCCAGGTACCCACAGGACTGCCCGGACCCGTTGTTAGTCCCGTGTTATAGTATTTAATGACAAAAATTCACTATAACTCCATAGTTACACTACAAGTCACTAATGTGACTCTAACTGACTATGCACACATACCTTCTGACTTTTATATGTTTGAATAAAGATGAAGCTTCAGTCAACTTCAGTGGATGCATGACCAGATCGGTTATTACGTGTGTCTGAATACTTTTTGCAAAATCAATTCCCAAGCAGACATTATGTACTCTTGAGACTTACAGTGGGTACCCGGGTAGGGTCGAGTAAAAGCAGGTGGGGTACCGGGTAGGGTCGAGCAAAAGCGGGTGGGGTACCAGGGTAGGGTCAAGCAATAGCGGGTTGGGTACCCGGGTAGGGTCGAGCAATAGTGGGTGGGGTACCCGGGTAGGGTCGAGCAATAGCGGGTCGGGTACCCAGGTAGGGTCGAGCAATACTGGATGGGGTACCCTGGTATGGTCGGGCAATGGCGGTTGGGGTACCCGGGTAGTAAAACCCTATTACAGATGCAAAACAACTGCAATACAAAGTCCTATGCCTGTAACAACATTAATAAAAAAAATCCTATCCACTTCCGGCACTAGGACATCATTTAGTGTCATGTCTAATGCAAGACAATTTTATAAGACAATTTTATAAGACCTGTGCACTTTTGATTCAATTACCTTGACTCTCAATTTCAATTTGCTCTTACATGTCGTACAAACACTTAGGGTTGGTTCAGTTCACAAAGAAGCAGAACTTCCTGATGATCCTTCCAGCCACCTTGACCCTCCACGAAGGTCACACAAAGATACCAATTCAATGCGCCATCCTTAGGATGATATGTACCAAAGTTCATCCTATTAAGGTGAACACCTCTTGAGTTATCACACACATAATACCAGTACATGTTTTAATACAGTAAACTACGTTTATAACGAACACGCTTATAGTGAACTGACAATTATAACCTATTGTTTTTTGGTCCTGGGTATTTGCTGTATATATATCCTGTCTATATCACTATGCTAATAATGAACTATGGTTATAACAAACTAAAATAAGTTGTCCCTTTCAGTTCGTTATAACCGCAGTTTACTGTATATGACCTTGAGAGTAAATTTGACCTTTGAATCACTGACCAGCGTTTCAAGATCATTCGGAAGGGCTATCTAGAATATAATCAAATATGATGTCCCTTTGTGGAATTCAATGAAACAACTGTGTGGAATTCAAAGTAACCAAAACAAATGGCACATTCTTGTCACTAAAAGTAGATCACAGTAACCTGCCATTGGTGTCATAAGAATGTCACCACCTGTCATACGTATCATATGATATAACCACTACATGCATCAGAATTACAAAATATCTGCATAAGACGTTTTTTGCAGTGCATATTATTTGCATCCATTCGCAACCTTTATGTACGATGCTCCACACTAATGGGAACACAAAGTCCTTCATAGATATATTATGTGATGAGATCAGAAAACTGTAGAAAACAATGTATGCAGAATTAGTGCTTATACCATATTGGCATTTATTGAAGATGTCTCTTGGATAAAAAAAGAATTTGCAATCCTACCAAGGTGAATCTCATGTGATATAAAACACTTAAGATTTAATAATCCAGATCCTGTAAAACTGATAATACAAATCCATAAGGAAAGGCACAAGGACTCAAGACCAACAGGCTAGACCTCAAGACCAACAGGCTAGACCTCAAGACCAACAGGCTAGATCTCAAGACCAACCAGCTAGACCTCAAGACCAACCCGCTATACCTCAAGACCAACCAGCTATACCTCAAGACCAACCAGCTATACCTCAAGACCAATCAGCTAGACCTCAAGACCAACTGGCCATACTTCAAGACCTACCCGCTCGACCTCAAGACAACCAAGTAGACCTCAAGACCAACCGGCTAGACCTCAAGACCAACCAGCTAGACCTCAAGACCAACCAGCTTGACCTCAAGACAACCAAGTAGACCTCAAGACCAACCGGCTCGACCTCAAGACAACCAAGTAGACCTCAAGACCAACCGGCTAGACCTCAAGACCAACCAGCTATACCTCAAGATCAACCAGCTATACCTCAAGACCAACCAGCTATACCTCAAGATCAACCAGCTATACCTCAAGACCAACCAGCTAGACCTCAAGACCAACTAGCTAGACCTCAAGACCAACCCGCTTGACCTCAAGACCAACCAGCTAGACCTCAAGACCAACCAGCCACATACTCAGTATGGACAATCCACATCATTCATCTCCACATACACCGACTTGATCTGACTGTAGTAGTCCAGGGTGTCCCTGCCATTTTCACGTCCGATTCCTGATTTCTTGTAGCCCCCGAAGGGAACCCCGACAGGGTAGATGTTGTAGTTGTTGACATAGAGTGACCCCGCCTCCATCCCCGCTGCGACACGGTGTGCCCGGCTCAGATCTCTGAAAGTGATCATCCCAAGAGTGAGTGAGTGAGTGACGTTTTACGCCGCAATATCACGGCGGGGGACACCAGAAATGGGCTTCACACATTGTACCCATGTCGGGAATCGAACCCGGGTCTTTGGCGTGACGAGCGAACGCTTTAACCACGAGGCTACCCGACCGCCCCGATCATCCCAAGAGTTAAGTGGAATTTCAATACTCTCTAAATAATGATAGGAAGCAGATTCCTGTCATATCATTATTTCTATGTCACATCATGGAGTGAGTGTGTGAGGCTTTAGGACAGCAGGACACCTAGAAAAAAGACATCGCGAAACTGATCTCTCCTCACCTGGTAAAGACGCCTCCGGCAAGGCCAAACTCTGTCTCATTGGCACGCCTCAGCACTTCCTCTTCTGTGTCAAAGGTCAACACCGACATGACACTACCAAAGACTTCCTCTCGTACAACGGTCATGTGGTCGTGGCAGTCCGCCAGTATGCAGGGAGAGAGATAATGCCCGTGTGCGAGGCGGGGGTCAGCTTGAGACACCCTCTCCCCACCATACACCACAGTAGCACCCTGAACACACAAACAGGCAAACTCTCAACATTCACATTGAAGACGATCTTTCAGACTTTTTCAGCATTTGAAATTTGATGGTCACTTTTATATTATTACATGTTCACACTTTCTACCCTGTGGCTCCAATAGCTGAAAGTCAGGACTACGCGTGTACCAAAGCATAATGCACATGCCCCATCTTGGGGTATTGTGAGAAGTGGTAATTTCTACCAAGACCTTTTAGAATCCTGCCATCTGGTTGGTTTGCAAGCAGTATCAAATCTATATTGGACCGTGATTTTGTTGATGACCACAAAAGAAAATATTAATATAGAGGTTCTGATGTGACAACTGCATATGTTTCAGCTCTGAAACCTCACAGTTTCTAATGAAATTTACAGGCATCAAGCCTCAAATTTGAAGAAAAGGTAATATAATTTTTTTCTCTCCAGATTTTAGGTAGAACATATTTCCAAGAAATAGCACAACAAAAAGTTACCTCTTTCTTAGCCCCTTGAACATATGCTAGCACCTTGTCTGCCTGGCTGCTGCTGATTGTAGCCCCGACAGTCGTGTCTTCAACATTCGGATCCCCAATCTTCATCTTTTGCGTGCGCTCTACGAGCTTCTTCAGGAACTCTTTCACAACATCCTTCTGGACAAACACTCGTGTTCCGTTCGAGCACACCTGGGTGATAGAAGCCAAAGCCTCAGTGTGTGATAGTAAGACTGCCTAACACACAGAGACAGACTCCCATGGGATTCAGGGTTAGATTTGTTTGTTGAACGCTGCACTATGTACATAATTGAGTCTGAACCAGACAATCCCATGACTGATATCATGCTCATGACCAACATCTTGATTGATCCACGCAAATGGGATACGATGACATGCATCAACCAAGTCAGCGAGCCTGACCCCCTAAACCCAATCCCACTTACGACAAGCATAGTCACCATTTACGCCAAGCATGGGTTACTGAGGACCTATTCTACCCCGGAATCTTCACAGGTCTCCCTGGAAAGAGAATGTCATTATTTAGCCTTAGCCTTAGCCTTACATTGTGGGAATGGTGGGGTAGCCTTGTGGTTCAAGCATTTGCTCGTCGCGCCAAAAAGTTGGGTTCGATTCGTTGCACTGGTACAATGTGTGAAACCCAAGTTGCAACTAATTTGGTTGCCTTGACGATTGAAATTTCCACTTGGTGATATTATTAAAGAGGTCACCACTTGGCTTCTTGGAAAAACGCTGGCAACCTGATATCCCTAACTGCATAATATTAGAGACAGAAATACAACACATTAATAAATACTGATGGAATGAACTAAAATTTCATTGTAAAAAATCTAAAAATCAATGAGTGAATTATGGGGTAAACATTAATTGATAACCTTGTCAAGTATTAACAACAACGTAATTAAAAACAAAAGCTTGTAACACCAAAGGCAGGAATCGGTATTGCTGCAGTTAGGCAGATTATGCATTACTGACTATGGTCTTGAAGTTTGGCTCCTTAATTTTTCTCCTGGCTTCTTGAATTTCACATGGGCTTCCTGAAAACAATTGTTAGAAGCCAATAGCTCCTTAGGAAAAAAATCAAACTTTGAGATCTAGTGTTTGATAGGACCAGGCATATGGTGTATTTCATCAAGTAAAGAAAGAGGGCAACAACTGCAGTGTGTAGTACATCTGTAGTACATCTGTAGTACATCTGTAGGTACCTTTGGGGACAATAAAGTATGTGAGTGAGTGAGTGATTATAGATTTACGCCGCTTTTAGCAATATTCCAGCAATATCACGGCGGAGGACACCAGAAATGGGCTTCACACATTGTACCCATGTCGGGAATCAAACCCAGGTATTCGACGTGACGAGCGAACGCTTTAACCACTAGGCTACCCGACCGCCCCCAATAAAGTATGTGAGGCAGGAAGTGAGATGATAATGAAGGAATCACTACATTCTGGTCTGCTGGCCTGTTTGTACCAAAAGCTGTAAATAACGACCAACTCCGGCATCACTGTACCTGTCCTTGGTTGCTGAAGTTGGCTAACATTGCCCCTTTCACAGCGTTGTCCATGTCCGCATCAGAGAATATGATGAGTGGTGACTTGCCTCCCAGCTCCAGAGTGACATGCTTGATGTCCTGGCAAAACATTCATTATCATTGCAACAAAGGAATCTGGTTTCTTGCTACTCTCAACGAACAAATATTTTAAAACAAATAATCATGCACAAACTTCTATTTTCTGTGTATGTGAATGTGAATAATACTTATGGCTAATAAATGTCAAATGTCATCGGGTTTACGCGATGCAAAATGTAGAGAATGGAAGCAGAAAAAGAAAAGAATCTGTCCATATGATCCTTAATTCATTCTAGGCTCTTAAGTAATTATCTGAATGTACAGTACACTACACAATTTTATTACTTTACAGAACCCTCATATAGCCTGCAAGGAACCTTAAAATCATTATTTGGGGTCCTCTAGACTCCTACTTTTGTAAGTCAAGGTAACACCCTGTTATTTTATTGTTTGTTTGTTGTTTAATGCCGTACTCAGCAACATTTCAACTATATGACAGCGGTCTGTAAATAATGCAATCTGGCCAAACAAACCAGTGATTGGGATACGATGACATGCATAAACAAAGTCAGTGAGGCTGACCACCGCCCCCCTATCAGGGATTCACTTGGTTACCATGGATACTGACCTGGGCACATGCTTCCATAATGCGGGCCCCCGTGGGGACGCTCCCTGTAAAGGACATCTTAGCCACTCCAGGGTGTCGAGACAACAACTGCCCCGTCTCCCCCTCGCCCTGCAACCACGAAGCATAACTAGGGTGATGAGGCACTGAAGGATTGCTGCATCAGAGATAGTAAGTTAAATCAAAATCTGCCCCTAGCATCCAGCAGGTGGTCCTACAGCTAATCTGAATAACGTAACAACCGCCATGTGCCCCTATGTCTCACCTGAATAACATAACATCCCCCATGTGCGGCTATGTCTCATCTGAATAACGTACCATCCACCAGGTGTCCCTATGTCTCACCTGAATAATGTAACATCCCCCATATGCCCCTGTGCCTCACCTGAATAACATAACATCCCCCATGTGCCCCTATATCTCACCAGAATAATGTACCATCCACCAGGTGCCCCTATGTCTCACCTGAATAATGTAACATCCAGCAGGTGCCCCTATGTCTCACCTGAATAACATTGTAACCTCCATCAGGTGCCCCTATGTCTCACCTGAATAACATTGTAACCTCCATCAGGTGCCCCTATGTCTCACCTGAATAACACTGTAACCTCCATCAGGTGCCCCTATGTCTCACCTGAATAACATTGTAACATCCATCAGGTGCCCCTGTGTCTCACCTGAATAACATTGTAACATTCACCAGGTGCCCCTATGTCACACCTGATTAACATTGTAACCTCCATCAGGTGCCCCTATGTCTCACCTGAATAACATTGTAACATCCACCAGGTGCCCCTATGTCTCACCTGAATAACATTGTAACCTCCATCAGGTGCCCCTATGTCTCACCTGAATAACACTGTAACATCCATCAGGTGCCCCTATCATGCCTATGTCTCACCTGAATAACACTGTAACCTCCAGCAGGTGCCCCTATGTCTCACCTGAATAACATTGTAACATCTGCCAGGTGCCCCTATGTCTCACCTGAATAACATTGTAACATCCATCAGGTGCCCCTATGTTTCACCTGAATAACATTGTAACATCCATCAGGTGCCCCTATGTCTCACCTGAATAACATTGTCACATTCACCAGGTGCCCCTATGTCTCACCTGAATAACATTGTAACATCCATCAGGTGCCCCTATGTCACACCTGAATAACATTGTAACCTCCACGAGGTGCCCCTATGTCTCACCTGAATAACATTGTAACATCCATCAGGTGCCCCTATGTCTCACCTGAATAACATTGTAACCTCCATCAGGTGCCCCTATGTCTCACCTGAATAACATTGTAACATTCACCAGGTGTCCCTATGTCTCATCTGAATAACATTGTAACATTCACCAGGTGTCCCTATGTCTCACCTGAATAACATTGTAACCTCCAGCAGGTGCCCCTATGTCTCACCTGAATAACATTGTAACATTCACCAGTTGTCCCTATGTCTCACCTGAATAACATTGTAACCTCCAGCAGGTGCCCCTATGTCTCACCTGAATAACATTGTAACATCCATCAGGTGCCCCTATGTCTCACCTGAATAACATTGTAACATCCAGCAGGTGCCCCTATGTCTCACCTGAATAACATTGTAACATCCAGCAGGTGCCCCTATGTCTCACCTGAATAACATTGTAACATCCAGCAGGTGCCCCTATGTCTCACCTGAATAACATTGTAACCTCCATCAGGTGCCCCTATGTCTCACCTGAATAACATTGTAACATCCAGCAGGTGCCCCTATGTCTCACCTGAATAACATTGTAACATTCACCAGGTGCCCCTATGTCTCACCTGAATAACATTGTAACATCCAGCAGGTGCCCCTATGTCTCACCTGAATAACATTGTAACATTCACCAGGTGCCCCTATGTCTCACCTGAATAACATTGTAACATCCAGCAGGTGCCCCTATGTCTCACCTGAATAACATTGTAGCATCCGCCAGGTGCCCCTATGTCTCACCTGAATAACATTGTAACATCCAGCAGGTGCCCCTATGTCTCACCTGAATAACATTGTAACCTCCATCAGGTGCCCCTATGTCTCACCTGAATAACATTGTAACATCCAGCAGGTGCCCCTATGTCTCACCTGAATAACATTGTAACATTCACCAGGTGCCCCTATGTCTCACCTGAATAACATTGTAACATCCAGCAGGTGCCCCTATGTCTCACCTGAATAACATTGTAACATTCACCAGGTGCCCCTATGTCTCACCTGAATAACATTGTAACATCCAGCAGGTGCCCCTATGTCTCACCTGAATAACATTGTAGCATCCGCCAGGTGCCCCTATGTCTCACCTGAATAACATCGTAACATCTGCCAGGTGCCCCTATGTCTCACCTGAATAACATTGTAACATCCATCAGGTGCCCCTATGTCTCACCTGAATAACATTGTAACATCCATCAGGTGCCCCTATGTCTCACCTGAATAACATTGTAACATCCACCAGGTGCCCCTATGTCTCACCTGAATAACATCGTAACATCTGCCAGGTGCCCCTATGTCTCACCTGAATAACACTGTAACATCCACCAGGTGCCCCTATGTCTCACCTGAATAACATCGTAACATCCATCAGGTGCCCCTATGTCTCACCTGAATAACATTGTAACATCCATCAGGTGCCCCAATGTCTCACCTGAATAACATTGTAACATTCACCAGGTGGCCCTATGTCTCACCTGAATAACATTGTAACATCCATCAGGTGCCCCTATGTCTCACCTGAAAACCATTGTAACCTCCACGAGGTGCCCCTATGTCTCACCTGAATAACATTGTAACATCCGTCCGGCAGACCAGCTTCTGCATATATCTCTCCTAACATGACGGCTGTTTGCGGAGTGAGGGGTGAGGGCTTGAAAACGATGGTGTTGCCGCATGCTAATGCAGGTGAGGACTTCCAGGCCGCCATCTGGAAGGGGTAGTTCCACGCCCCTATAGCCCCAACCACACCCAGGGCTTCCCGGATCGTATAGGCAAAGGACCCCCCTGCCAGCTGAGTGAAGTCGCCTAGAAGAATCAGTCAGTAACTACTTATAAACACAGAAGTGCATAAACTGTGCCAACGTACAGCTTTACCCTTGCTATGCTATCGTGGAGTTCCCTGAAGACATGTTATCTATGCTATGCTATCGTGGAGTTCCCTGAAGACATGTTATCTATGCTATGCTATCATGGAGTTCCCTGAAGACATGTTATCTATGCAATGCTATCCATGGAGTTCCCTGAAGACATATTATCTTGACCTTGTTTAGGGGCCAGTATTCGGACCCAAGTCTGCATCAATTGTCCGTAAAAATTCCCAAATCAGAATTAGAAATTACCATTTCTAATAAAAATTAAAATAATGATAACAAGGGCAAAAGTGAGAATGGCTCACTAATACCCCCGACCCACCTAGTGTGTCAGTAGTTTCAAATTAAATAGCAGGATAGGGTTAGGGTTTGAAAAATTCATAAAAAAATGGAAAATTAATAAAACTTCTTTTTTTTTTACTGTACCCCTCCATATGACACAGATTATATGTACTAAGTTTGAGATGAATCCACTGAATAGTTTAAGAGAAATCCCACGGAAAAGGTTTTCGGACGGACAGAACATTGGTATAAATTGGTCGGGGGTATAATAATAAAAGGCCATTACTATTGTGCATGCAGGGGCATGCTTAAAGCCCCATTATTACCCAGGTCACTGGATAAGTGTGCACAACAAAACAATCATTCTCAGCTCCCTGGGGAGTATACAACCCAAGCTGCCTGGTAGGCGCTAGAAGATTAACAACCACACTGCCATCTCATAGTACTGGGTACCCATTCACTGTGGGCGAACAGACGCACATTTCTAACAAAGTCACTTGCCCAAGGATACACCACAGGTGTGACATGTGCTTCAGTGTGGGGCAGGGCCGAAGCCAAAGAAACTCTCAGGAGCCAAACTGCTGAAAAGCGGTCACCCTTCCAAGGACGTCCCGAGTTGTTAAACTTCCCCAAATTTGTGACCTGTGCACAGTGCACAGGCCCATGTGCCACCATTACGTAACTAATGTGATGGCTTGGTCTAGGTGATTTGCATTCCACTGCATTATTGCATGATTATACTGAATGCAATGTGACAATGTAATGTTAAAATATATGAGCTGTCAAGTCACAGTGAATGAGTGAGTTGGCTGAGGTGGCCCTGAACAGCATCTCAGGCATAAACATCAGGGCATGTCAGCTCAAGTAGGGTGAAATCCCAAAGTGAAGCAGGTCGTAGATGTATGTTTCCACTTTGGTGAAGCCCAACAAGCATGAGCCCTGAGAGATCCAGGATCATAACTGGAACGTAACTTTTCAGAGCAGATTGTGGCGCGGTGAAGCCCAACAAGCATGAGCACTGAGAGATCGAGGATCATAACTGGAACGTAACTTTTCAGAGCAGATTGTGGCGCGGTGAAGCCCAACAAGCATGAGCACTGAGAGATCGAGGATCAAAACTGGAACGTAACTTTTCAGAGCAGATTGTGGCGCGGTGAAGCCCAACAAGCATGAGCACTGAGAGATCGAGGATCATAACTGGAACGTAACTTTTCAGAGCAGATTGTGGCGCGGTGAAGCCCAACAAGCATGAGCACTGAGAGATCGAGGATCATAACTGGAACGTAACTTTTCAGAGCAGATTGTGGCGCGGTGAAGCCCAACAAGCATGAGCACTGAGAGATCGAGGATCATAACTGGAACGTAACTTTTCAGAGCAGATTGTGGCGCGGTGAAGCCCAACAAGCATGAGCACTGAGAGATCGAGGATCATAACTGGAACGTAACTTTTCACAGTAGATTGTGGCGCGGTGAAGCCCAACAAGCATGAGCACTGAGAGATCGAGGATCATAACTGGAACGTAACTTTTCACAGTGCATTGTGGCGCCATATACCACAAGACCAAACATGCCCCATGTTGAATGAAAGTGATGCAAAATGAACTGCTGGTCCAGATGACGTGAGTTGGATTTTATGCTGCTTTTAGTAATATTCCAGCAGTATCACAGCATGGGACACCAGAAATGGGCTTTACACATCGTACTCATGTTGGGAACCGAACCCAGGTCTCCCGTGTGATGAGCGAATGCTTTAACCACTAGGCCAACCCACAGCCCCCAGATTTGCATATAAGTATACAGTTATAGACCTGTTTTTATGAATAAAAAAGAAACATTGACTGAGGATGCAGTCCATATTTGTTCTATTATATAATGATGAGACAAAAGCAGATTCAGCAGATCAAACCAAGTGAGCTACAATAACACAAGAGACATCTGATTAGTTTGGGGATACCACTTCTGGGTAATTCCATTCCCTTATTATTAATTCAAACATGTCAAATCAACACTGCAAAATTATCAGACCTGACTTGGAGTCAATACGCATTTCTGTCAAATGACGTGACCGCTTCTCAGCTAATGAATATGGTGGAAATCTTCGCATTACATAATGATACCTGTTATTGCTGCTGCAAGGCCACCATAGTAGTCGATGGTGTCGGCACATCCCTGAATGTCGTAGCGAGCCTCCCAGATCGGCTTCCCTGTGTCCAGCACCTCTGTACGGGCCAGTTCTTCACACCTCTCCTGTAACCATGGTTTTAATGGCATTACTGGCATCGTCACATCTTTGGAGAGATCCCATTATTTCTATCCTAAACCACAACAATAAACCTTTTTATTGTCATTGTGTTGTTAAAATTTAAGAACTCAAAGTCCAATATCTTTATAGGGCTTCATAACAACAAAACTAATATGTAGACAGTTGATGTGTGTACATACTGTCTCCGAGTATACATCAGTGATAGACACAGCCACTAGTCTGTTAGTCTAAGGCTAGTAACAATCTAGATGGGCTAGTTGTATTATTTCCATGTTTAGTTATTTTACATAACCACTAGTCCTAAATGTGCTGCACCACAGCATCAACCTATATTAATTGAGAGTTGACATAAAGGTTTTATAGAATTGACTTTTTCTATGTTAGTTACTGCTTACCACGGTAGTTAGTTCTACCTTGGAACAACGCCCACCCACACCCCCAGTGTATGTACCCTGATCAGCTGGGCTGCTTTCCTTAGGACCTGACCCCTGTCGAACCCCGCCTTTTGAGACCAGGCCGGAAACGCCCGCAGAGCAACGCCGATAGCACCATCTACTTCCTCCACTCCAGAGTTCTGTATCTGACGCAGAACTTCACCTGTGAACATAGCAATGTTTAGAAAGTCAAGGAGTCCATATCATAACCCCAGAGGCCCAAAAGTTCAAGATTTAGGGGTCCCCGATTCAAATAATATTGCAGCTAACTCTAGAGACGTCAAGGCCTTCCTTAATTGTGTACTTGTGTGCTTGCGCATCAAAAAGTCTCCGATCATACATATTTATTCTAATACATAATATTAATGATACAAAAACATACTCAGCTAGTAATCTCTACACAGTAGCAAGTAAAGATATGAGTACCAGCCATACCGCAAACAGTAGCCAAATTGCATTCCCACACTTTTGCGATTTTTCTGACATTCTTATATATCATTACCAACATGAAACATATCTTTACAACATTTTGGATGACAATCAGTTAATGTCAATAAAAAAACTGATCTCAACCCCTGTCCCCATATCATGTATATTAAAAACTTTATACACCATCTACAAAGTAAGGGTACACCTTGCATATTGCAAAATTTCACCTGTTGCAGGATTTATGAGATCAAATCTGTTGGCTGGGTCTTGTCCCGGAGGTTGATTTCTCTGACCATTGACGTAGTTGAGTGGCTGCTGCACCTGTGTGGCTGTGCCTGTGACTGTGGTGTATCTGCGTCTCAAACATGTACATAGCTGGGCACTTACTCTCAGTCTCATGGTGAATCTGATAACAAAAACATAATTGTGAACACACAATGCCATTTAGAAAGAGGTCAAATGTAACAAATGTTATATTTGGGATAACACTTTCTGAGTAAAGTACAGATTCTCGTACTCGTGTTCATAGCTTTTGGCCATGGGAGCCGTGTCAGTTTACACATGTCAGAGGGGTACACAAAGTATGTGATCTAGATTACCAGTTGTCGGACTTTCATTTTTGCGGAAGCCTTGGTGTCTGAGTGGGTTAGATCGCTGACTTTGTGCTGGCGATTAGGTGCCTCACTCTGGCTGTGTGGGTTCGAATCCTGGACGGGATTCAATGTCATTTCATATCTTATTTGTTTTATATTCCAGTAATTTCATGACTCTCTGACGCTACGCACTTCTGTACCCAGATTTCTAATATATTTGCGTTTAACAATTTTGCAGACATAGTTAAATAAAAATGACAGATAAATGTATTATGACTGGAGCCAATGTTAAGTGTTAAAGTATGTCACTAAAAGTATCCACCTTAACATTGGCAATTTGGCATGATAGGCACTGTCATATATTACGTGACCTATTGGAAGTTGGCACTAGTTCTGTAGTCCTTGCCAAACTGCCCAATAGTAAAGGTATCATAAGGACTAGTCGAACATTGCCCTAGTTAAGGATTTTGTTGTATGTTATCATTATAAGGACAAGTGGACTAAAACTGTCAGTTTCTATGGTTGTGCTACCAACCAGGTCAAAATGTATTATCAGGTGCTAACGTAGCCGAGAGCCGAGTAGAGATGGGGTTCTACAGCCAAGACCCCATCGCGGCTCTCGGGACGAGCTAACGGGACTTATTATTCTTGAAAAGAGTCTTGAACTAAATACATGGCGCCATATGCATTTATAACTCTATCAATATTGTCTCATGAAGGAAGGGGGATTCTAGGCCAAATTGACCCAGGACTACGTAACAAACTATTTACGAAACGACCTGACGGCAGTTCTCGATTGTCAGGCTGGTACTGAGCTTAAATACCAGGTGCTTTGCAAAAATCGAAAATATTGAAAGGCAAAAAAACCCAATACGTAATATTTTAACTTGAACAAAATCCACGAACCTGCCACACACGTAACCTAAGCGTGCAAACTAGCGACCACCGACCAAAGCAGACAACTTTTAAAGGGAGGTAATGATAAACATGTATTGTCTTCCGTACCGCTAAAACAATACCATTTTCATCATCCGTGAACTGTCCTCGTAAATTTATTATGCTTTTACGCAAAAGCGTTATATCTTCTTGTTATTTGGAGATAACTTTCAGTAATCAGTGTCAACGTGAATCAGATAACGGCCCGAAACCCATTTTATGTGCGCTTCTTTTACTCAGTTATGTAACGGCGTGTCAGATTAATTAAAAGGGCACTGATCTACAGGGACTGGCTGTTGCCTTTGTTATTGTTTTTCCTCCGTTAGTACCCGGATGATATAGCAGAAATTTTGACTGGTTCGCGACATGTGCTGTTCCGTTCGTAAGCGCACGTGTCGCTTTTATTGATATTGTAAGGGGGTATGGTCACATTGATCAACAACTGAAATACATAAGGCAGAGAATTTATGGATGTCAAATTCTTTATTATGGGGATAAAACTATGATAACTTAAGTACTGGCTTCCATACTTTCAGCGCTAATTACTGTAAAGTGTTGGCTTCTATTGTCTTTTGCTAATCACCTATCAGCGCCAATTATCTGTTTGCTTCCCTTGTTAGTTTCCACCTTTTGTTATCTTATTAAGTTTGTTCTTCTTACATGTACATACATATGCTCTCTGCCTCATGGCATTCATTCGGTAATGATGAAGATGTTTTGTTAAGTTACTTTTTAAGTTTATATTTCACCTGAGCATTGCTTATGTTATCATGTGTATATTTTATAGTCAAAATATGGATCATTTTCACTTAGGCAATTTATTAAACGCCTAAATATTCAGTTATTTTACAAATAGACTGAAAAATCTGTCCATTTATGTTATTATTATAACGAATTCCAAACACGTTTATGCTTTAATTTCAGCCCCATGTGATTGAAAATGATAGGATTAAAAGAAAACGAATATTCAAAATACATTTCTATAGTTTTGGCTTCTAATTCTAGCATAATTCGTCTATTGTGATGTTTTAAGTCCTTTTGAACCTCTTAATAATTGTTAGTCAATCGGTTAAATAAATGGACAGATGTTTCAGTCAATTTGTACATTACTGAAATATTTAGCCATTTTATAAATTGCCTGAGTGAATCACATTTTACACATTGACTGTAACATATACCCGCCTACAAACGAAAAGGCTTGTGAAAACAACGTCTGTCTGGCATTGAAGAACTTCCCAACGAAAACGCAGAGGAACAAGAATGATTCTATACAATGCAACAGCAACTGAATAAAAACAAAATGCAATTACCATAATTACATTCTACCGAAGTTACATGTATACATTTAGGCAGCTACCTTGTTCGAGGAATGTATCCGTGAATATAGACAAAAAGGAACAATATACCATATGTCTGCAGCTATACAAAGAAGCTTATTCGTCTCTGTAACAATCACATATTTTAAAATATATATAGCGTTTCGGGATATTATAACCTGTGTTCGTTTCTCAACTGATCACTTAGTTTGTTTCATGTGTTTCACCTCCCAAAGGTCAGCTGAGAAAGCCCACGTGACATCTATTATCATAATGTCCACGGTTCTTTAAAAAAACATAGTGTTAGATAACAATGAACAATCAATCAACGTATTATCGGCTGATCCTTTGAAGAAAGTATGTTGTTTTAACATCGGCACTTCACGCCGAGATATGCATGGGTGTGTTCCGTCTGCTTTAGTAAACCAACACATGTAAACACTTACTTTTGACAAATCCACTGTGCAAGATAATAGTGATTAATGAATAAACGTATTTTCTGTTGATCCTTTGATGGCGAGGAATGATCAGTTGATTTACAGGGTAACAGTATAAAGTTTCCAAGTTATTAGTACCTCTCCACAAAGTGAGTGAGTGAGTTGAGTTTATTTGTTTGTTTGTTGTTTAACGCCGCACTCAGCAATATTCCAGCTATGTGACGGCGGTCAGTAAATAATCGAGTCTGGACCAGCCAATCCAGTGATGCGCATGCGCATCGATCCACCCGATCCCGTTATTTGCCTTTTACGACAAGCATAGACGCCTTTTACAGCAAGCATGGGTCATTGAAGACCTATATTCTACCCCGGATCTTCACAGGTCGAGTTGAGTTTAACATTGCTTTGATTCCAGATATACAGGGCAAGGAAAGAAAGCCCGAACTGATACATGTCTTAAACATTGAGCATTTCGGTGAAACGCATTAGCATAGGTATAATGCCAACAAACCTAGAAACACAATCAGGGAGAACCAGGATTCCAACCAACGGGAGAGGTTTCTGGTGCGCCTGAGTGACGTCAGGCGGTGACTCCTAGACTATAAGATCCTTACAGTATGAGGGTTCGCAGGGATGTAATGTAACCCATTGATTCCCAACTTGAAGCGTAAATATAAAACGTCAATGCAAGAGAACAACCAGTCTTGATTACACGCAGAAATAGATTCCAGTTGGCTTAAGTCCTGCCATGTACTTTCTCAAACATAAAGACAGCGCCCGCATTATATATATGAACTACAGCGGAGGCGAATCCTATATGCAACATAGAAATATCAGTAACCAAGAGTTGCTTCTATTCCAAGTTTCAACAGTTTACGGTAAGAACGCTAACTGTCATTTCTATGTACGACCGTGCTTTTCAAAAAAACGTTTTCATTGTGAAACGTGATACTTTTTTCAAGAAGCCGCATACAAGTACAGATAAACGGTGAAAAAATAAATCTTTCATCGGGAAGGATTTTTGCAAGCGGCGGGAGATGAGAAACACAAAAATGAATTCAGGAAGGACGCCCTGAATCTAAGAAGGCACACTGGCGCTGTCATCAACTTGATAGACACAATATTTCTATGGATAACAACTTCTTTAATACTGTGAAAAGCGACGTTTCGGTATAGATCCTTATACCGTTGTCAACTTGTTCCCGATAGTCTTGATTGCCTCAGCTCTATTTTCAGCAATGTCATTTCGTATCCCGAGAGTTTCGTGACCCAGTAGCTTCGTATCCATTTTGCCCTTTTAACCTGATGATTCCATTCGTCACCACTCGACCCTTTCCGTAACTCGGCTTGTCCCGGAATAACACGAGTTGGTCACGAATGCTGATGATTCGTATCCCTTTTGCCATTTCGTAACCTGATGATTCCATTCGTCACCACTCGCCCCTTTCCGTAACTCGGCTTGTCCCGGAATAACACGAGTTGGTCACGAATGCTGATGATTCGTATCCCTTTTGCCATTTCGTAACCTGATGATTCCATTCGTCACCACTCGCCCCTTTCCGTAACTCGGCTTGTCCCGGAATAACACGAGTTGGTCACGAATGCTGATGATTCGTAACCAGGCTGTTTTGTATCCATTTAGTATCCATTTAGTATCCATCCTTCACGAGACAATGATATAAATGGATTTGACTCCATTAATTTAGTATACGTTATATCAAAGGACAAGAATTTCCGTTTGCACCTCACAATAAAGTAGTGGCCTGGTTTGTTACAGGTTAGAATATACCAAGTGGTTCACATCATAGTAACATTAAACATAATTAAAAAAATAGAACAGTACCTGTCACGCTGAGTGGAAGCGGCTACTTCCAGTAACACAGTTTAGCACTGAATTTGCATGGCGCCAATCTTCAGAAATTTATGTAAATTTTTTATGTTAGTATATCTGTAAAACTGTTCAGAACAAACATGTATAATACTATATTAAACTCCGGGTAACAAAACGACCTTGTCTCATTATACGAAATGAGACGGGACCCTCCTCACACAATGCGTAGTATGTGAGTGAGTATGCTTTGATGCTGCTTTTGGCAATATTCCAGCTGTGATATGGCCTTCTCTTCATACGCGCACGCTCGCACGCACGGACGCACGCACGCATGCACGCACACAAAGAGAGAGAGAGAGAGAGAGAGAGAGAGAGAGGGAGAGAGAGAGAGAGAGAGAGAGAGAGAGAGAGAGAGAGAGAGAGAGAGAGAGACTCATCGTCGCGTCATAGGCTCGTTAACACAACTGTTTCACACAGACACATCACAGACCCTCAAGGACACGTCATGAACTCGTACGATATTTCTGAAATTACGTTCAAACGCCGTAACCATTTTCACCATCCTTAGGTCAGTAGTGACATGAACGAGTCTCCGACAGACAAAAAGGAACCACAGTGTGAGTGAGTGAGTTTGATTTTACGCCGCTTTTAGCAATATTCCAGCAATATCACGGCGGGGGACACCAGAAATGGGCTTCACACATTGTACCCATGTCGGGAATCAAACCCGGGTCTTCGGCGTGACGAGCGAACGCTTTAACCACTAGGCTACCCGACCGCCCCGGAACCACAGAGACAGACCAGAGACCCACTTAAACTCACCACTGAGAATTCTAACCTTAACCAGCTATCCATTCATCATATAAGAGAATACAAGGCAACGTTTTACACGATGACCCTGATATTGATATTTTATGAGCGCTTCGCCATTTGTGCCTCACAGTTTTGCGCTTGTTCCAAAATGAATTTATTGTCGGTTTAGTTCGGTTTTTATCTTTTTTTCTTTTTTTTTAACGATGCACTACTAAAATATGACGGTAGTCTGTAAATAATCGAGTATGAACAAAACAATCAAGTGACATATTTTGTGAACAGCGATGACACGATATCAATCAAGTCACCTAACCTGACCACGCGATACCAGTATTCTAATCCTCAAAATTACTACGGGGATCGTCCCGTTAAACTAGGTCTTCAGCTTGTTAAAGACGACAATTCTTGTAAGAGGCGGCTAACGTGATCGGGTGGTCAGGCTCGCTGACTTGGTTGATGCATGTCATCGTATCTCAATTGCGTAGATCGATTCTCATGATGTCAATCACAGGATTGCCTGGTCCAGATTCGACACACCGCCGTCATATAGCCAGTATTAATACGAGAAGGAGGGCGATTAATATACAATGGACAATGGAAATTAGATTAATAATGGCTCGTCATTCAACCTTGTA